GAGGTTTTTTCTTATATTCATACAACTTTCAAATGTTTTTATCGATGATTCTGTACAACGAAGGAGTTGACCATCTTTTCCACAAATGAAACATTTTCCCGATGATTCTGTACTCTGCTGGAAACGAATCTTCAACTTCAAGACATATTCAAGATCAGTGTCTGAATTGCTATAGTACTTTCCATTTTTTATCTAGAGAAACATATATTTCATGATAAATTTACAATAATAGATTTCGTTAGCTAATCAATACTTATTTAATTATTGAAACAGGGCACACAGTACCAAATATCGAATAATTAATTCACAATAAGTCACCATTAAATGCAATGGTCAACGCCTCAATGTTGATGTGTATAACGAAAGCGTATGGAACCATGATAGCCGCGGGTATTGCGGGGAGAATAGGGGTACGAATGCGGCGAAACGCGTTCGTCCGTGGTACCTGCATTGCATTATGATTTTATCAATATCTTCCTTATTTATGCTTCGATTTTCAAAATCGAAGAACCATTCGCATCTTGAAACATAGGCGCATCGACATTATTTGAAGTATTTTTTGATAAACGTTTTAGTTACTGAGATAATGCGAGGTATATGAAAAACAATTTAACGAGAATTTACAAGTTTTGAGTTATAGGCGTTTGAAATATGATTCTCTCATATATCGTAATGTAATTAGTAAATTTCAAAATTTTCTATAATTTGTTCTACTTGTCACACGAAATCAAGATTCAACAGGGTGGAAGTTCTGAAACCCATAAATATTTTCCACGAATAAAAAAAAATCCATATTTTTTTGTAAATTACCCCCTACCCCCCAAACGCACAGGACGATTTTTTGACGACAAGTGGATCTATGATCTGGAGATGGTAGGTAACAATTCTAGCCATGTCACAGCTTTTTACCTCCGATTTCCCACGGGGTGAACGATAGGATTCGATTGGCACTCTACTATAAGGTTCTCAGCTGGATGAAGCACCAACACATTTCGTTCTGATTGACAGAAAAGATGTCATTGTTTACTGAAACCAGTGACTTTGATAGCTGGAAACATTTCACAAGAAGTAGGGTCCTTGATTTTTTTCAATTCTGTATAGGCGACTAAGATTAAGATCGTAGCGCCAGAACGGCGAATGTCGGTACTACCCTATAGGCCATTGGCGGATTGTTTACATTGTTTGGTAATGGTGTTCATGTTCATTTCGTTTTGAGTTTTCAAACGTCCAGCTTTGTTATTTGTCTATTTTCGAACTTTGTATTTTCCAGCGGTCAACTGTGTTTTGATTGAGGACTATATTATCTCTGTTCAACATTAGATAACCTCCCTACCTCTAGTTGAACTTCATATATTATACCAACATGCATAGGCTGTAAGTTTTTATCATTATTGAACAAGAATTCTCATGAAAACCTGTGTGGAATGTTGATTTTCAATTCGAATATATAGCTGGGATATTCTCCTGATAGTGCATGATATTTTTAAAAACTTTTTGGGAATAAAGTGTTCTTTGGAAGGTGAATTTAGGTAAACAGTTTCTACTTGACTTTTTACAACATAATCATCGAAACCCTGATTGATAACATTCTTTACTGTTTAAAAATTCTACTGTTCATGAGTAAAGATATAATCAGTTTGAAATTTGTTTGTTCTTTTACCACCACCTCAAGAAGTAGGTATTATATTCATAATAGACATACATTTGAAAATATACCTATAGGTATGAGTAAATTTTCAGTGAAGTGTAAAGAACAATATCTCATTATGTTCAGACACTTCACACTCTTTCCAATCTTCAAGTTATGAATCCACACCTTTCTCCTACCGATCACTTCCTTGTTTCCCAAATTATTAGTTTCAAATACAAATTTAGACTGTCCTGATTTTTGAAAGGAATGAAAGCTATACTCGGGATTTTTTTGCTCAAGATGAACAATGAGGTACACAACAATGATGACTCATGTTTTTAAACGTTTATAGAAGTTCTCAAACAAAATTATAGACAATTGAAACACAACTACTTCTCATACAAAATACACGCAAACTAATGTAAACAAAGCAATCAATGGCCCATACGTTAGTTATATTAGACAACGGTAGAGGGAGTACTCCTTAGCAAGAATCGGCTATACGTTAGTCTATTGGTGTTGAAGTGCATAATGTTCTATCAAAAAATGAATCAAAGAAGCTGTTGGAAAGTTATGACGAAAACGAAAATTTTATATTTTGCCAATCCTATGGATCCCTCTGTTGTATATTATTGTAGAAGAGGAGAAAACATTTTGCATGGCCATGCGGTATTTCCCTCAGGGGCATCTGTTCGTGGTAGGAGTATGTTCAGTTCCTCATGACCCACCCTGTATGCAAAATGAATTATTTTTCACCTGGTTGATTTCTTTATTGATAGACCTTCAATTTCATGTATTTCGAAGTAGGGGGTGCCATTTGAGATTTCAAAGTAGGGGTGTCTGGGGTTGAAGGGGAAGAACATAGAATTCAATTTATACTGGTATTTTACTTCCCCTTCTATATCTAAATTGACCTGTTTTTTCCGAAAACTGTTATCTTTCCTAATCAAAAGATATGCAGGGTGGTAAGTTTGAAATGAAAACCCTGTATATATTTTTGTTACAGTTTTTTGAAGACAACTGAGGGTTGCTCGTAAGGGGACAACCGAATGACTGATAGAACAGTTTTTTAGTATAACTACTATAACCAAACAGGGAAATAATCAAGAAATGAAAACAACTGCCAAACGGACATCTGTCAAGCACCGAGACGCTATAATTAAGTTACCGTGACGTCATAATAAAGTTAACCCAGTGTGCCTTGTTGGGTTCGAGGAAAAATTACTCTGGTTAGTAGGCGAGTGGATATTGTGTGTTCATCGACGCGAAATTTGTCTGTCAATTTCGCTTGTTTACTGAAAACATCGGGAGCTCATTTGTTTCAATATAACTCTCAATACAATAAAAGACAGACTTAGAAGTAAACGTTGAAAACTTTGGACAAAAACTCCGACCTTAGCCTAATATTGCTATCTTTCAAAATTCATCACAGAAACATTGATGTCTAGACTATCTTCACAGCTGGTGTGAGATTCATAGCTGTCTTGTGGAAACAAGCAACTGAGTTTGAATGAAAGCGAAAGATTTGCTACAATTTTACTTCGGATAATTTTGTTCTAGGATCTGTATTTTTCTCAATATTTAGTTCAAAAATTGACTGGAAACTTAAAATTTGCTCTTGGCGTTACTGCCTTGCTCCCGCATCCGTCATTCTTCCTGTTTTGTCATATGTCTCCCTAGTAAAGTTATTTTTTCTTGACGGTTTGTCATGGTCACCTGACCCTAAAATACAGAATTTCAGATTTGTTTTTATAAATATGTCTCTTTGCAAATAGAAAACATGTTTTTTACGAATGTCTCTCTATTGCCTCATGTCGAGGATGGTGGTTGTCTGAGAGGTCTTTCCACCCGCCTTTTGTGGGTGGTTGGTTGTACCCACCCTATGGGATGTCCCGATTGGTCTTAGTACCTTCCATCATTGTATTTTAATAATTGTTCGCCACTAATGTATTTTTTTCTATATGTCTAATTTGTTAACATTCAACTTTGTATTCTAGAACCGTTTTTTGTACGGCCGATAATGGACCATAGTGTCTGAAACATGTCCCTTTGATAGATACTGCTAACAAAAAAAATGTTGTGGAGGCGATACTATCAAGAATTTACTCTAAAATTTCACTTATTGACAAAATTTACCCATTTTTTGAGTTTTATATCGGACACTGTTGACCTTCAGTGCTGCATTTGGATTCAAATTGTGGAAAATTTAGACCACTTTGGAAAAAGGTAGGAGTTGCTAATTGGTACTACACATATTTTATTGAATTATAGGCGGAAAAAGTGCGAACTTTTCGCAGTTTTTCGCGAATACATATCTCAAAACGCACCATTGAATTATATTGGATTATTCGGATTCAGCACCCCGAGAAACATAAAGAATAATAATGAAACAGACTACTGGATGTTTTGCAAGAAGAAGACGCATTCAGATAGAGTCCAGCTGCTACTTAGATGCTACAATAGGAAAGAGAGAGAGAAAACACGAATAGATCCGATCAAGGTGGATCACATAAAAGTGCTACAGCGCCGTATTATCCCTCTGCGATTTAAAGTAAATACTGGCATTTTTTTAAACGCCATAGCAATAACGCCTTCAAAGCAAATCACTTTTTGATGTCGACAACAATATGATAACCACTCATCATCAGTCAGCAATGTTGACATTTTGAAGCTGGAGTAGCGCTACGAGTACGAAAGTACAGTCCTTCATTATTTACTTGATCATTTTTCATTAGTTTTTTCACTTCTGAAGTGCATAAAATAGTACATATACCACGGAAATAAAGCTGTATTTAATTCCTCAGCAAATTGTAATTCTCCCTTCCTTGCATAAGTGCCACTTCAGTCCCATGATTTGTGATCTACCATCATTATAGGATACATATTCCATAACAGGATTTTGAATTGTTATTGGCTAAAACCACAACCGAGCAGATGTAAATGTCTGTTTTTACAATATTTTGTTGCTACCTAAGCTCCTTGACATTCACTGTAACTCAGGTAAAGTCCGACCACGTTAACTTTGGGACAGCATGTGACGCAACGCATATGCATACTCAATGTATACGCGACCACGTGCTCTCCCAGAGTTATCGTGGTCGGACTCTAGTCTTGAGTGCTGCTCTGTAGCCTTTGTGAAGAACATGGCAGTCTTGAAGGTTTGATTTGAATAGATTCGGCTCGAAGGACCAATATGTTCGTCAATTCATTATCTTTGGCCCCTTTGAAATATTTTGTTACGCCCATACCAAGTATCACGCTATGGCCGACTCGGGTATGTTACTGAAACAACTGTAGATTTAATGGGACAACGAAATTCGTATCATCTAAGTAGCGGCTGAACTCTACCGTTTGCCTGGGTCACACGTACCTGTATCGTCTGCTTGCTTCCCTGAGCAGCGTTCACCGGAATGACCCGCTGCGGCGCCTTGGTCAGCACGACCGGTCCCTGAGCCACGCCCATCGGCGACCTGATCACCTGCTGGAACTGCTGCACCGTCATGGCGGCTGACAGCGGCTTCGCGCCGACGATCAGCTGCGTCTGCACCGCCCCACCCTTGCCGGTTACCTGGCCCATCAGCTTCTGCGCGTTCAGCTTCTTCTGGGCTAGAAGCTGCTGCTGCAGTTGCAGCTGGCGCAACTGGTTGGCGTTGGTGGTTTTCAGGGTGGGCGTTAGGGTTTTGCTGCCGTGCGCGGTCAGAGTGACGCCGGTGACGGGGATGGAGACGGACTGGGTGACTGTAAACGTGGATTTTATATAGGTGTCGCCCACATTCCATAATTGTTTGATTTTCTAAATCGTTCCTGTCTATCATATTTCATAATATAACTTCTGAGTGAACTGAAAAGTTTGACAAGAAACAGTTTATGACCTATTAAACGTACAGGGTGGGCAAAATTGAGTGTTTTCACGAGCTATCTCAATAACTAAAGGAGTTATCGAAAAACCGATATACATGTTTGAGCATCAATGACGATATTTTTCTTTACCATTTCACGGTAGATCACTGAGCTCGTGAGACGAAAAAATCGGACCTTTGCTGATAAAGTGTCCTGTTATTATACAAGGTAAAAATGTAGTAGATTTTAGCTCGAGGTTGTGTTGCCTTCCGAAGCGTAGCGGAGGGAGACAAAAAATCGTGAGCTAAAATCTAAATTTTTTTCCGTGTATAATACACTTTTTTCTGTGACAAGTAAAAGGACGAATCAGTATTGAGAAAATATGACATTATATGTATTCAAATTAGAAAATTATCGTCGTGGAATTTCGACTTTTGAACAGGTATTACACCTGCGTAGCAGGCATCTTTATCATTCTTTTGAAGTAATCAAATATCTGTCAGTCTAATTCTCATTTGATTTTACAAAATTGCAAACTTAGTGGTTGTTTAGTAATTTAGGCAAAAAGTTTGACATTTCACCTTAGTTGACAGGTTATAAAATTACCCTGTTGATGGTTTTTGTTGAGCTAGTTCCAAAAAATAAGCCAGTAACACCGTCTCCGAGAAAGAACTGCAAGTCCTTCCATCTTCCATTCCACTTCGCGGTTACTTAAATTACTAAACCACCACTGAGTTCGCAATATTTTAAAAACAAATCACATAATTATACTGACATATTTGATTACTTCAAAACAATGATAAAGATGCGTGCAAAAAGATGCCTGCAATGCAGGTGTAATTCCTGTTAAAAACTTCAAGTTTCACGTCGATAATTTTCTGATTATAATATAATGTAATATATTATCTATATTGATTCGTCCTTTGTCCTGTCACAGAAAAATATTGTGTATTATACACAGGAAAAATATTAGATTTTAGCTCACACAACCTCGAGCTAAAAATCTACTTTTTTCTTTTGTATAACAAATAACTATTTTTAAAAATAATCTGGGAATATAGTTGCTCACAGAAAAATTTCGAACCAAAGTCTTCAAAGATTCTCAATATTAGACTACTTATTTTGATATTTCAACACAATTTTAGGATTTATATCAATGCCCAAGGTAGTTCAATTAATAATAATAATAATGATACGTCTTTATTCATCATTCGCAGAACAACAATAAACAAAATAACAAAATATTTTACACAATCAGACTCAAACTGCCATGACGAAAAGGCGAAGTATCAGCATAAAGCTGTTTTTCAACTCAACCCGAATTCTGAGAAACAATGATTCCTGTCCATATATGAACGAACTTTATACAGTTTTTGAAGAAGATAAAAAGAACCTACGAAGTTATTGTCTGTTGATGCTTTATTTGATGTTGATGTTTTTCTAATCATTTCGTCTTGAATTGTTTGGATTTGATTTTTTGAGGCTATTTTATAAAATATTTTCCTATTTCTCCCTTCTGAAATCAATGTAGTTTGAAAACTGGTCATAGAATTAATCTGTAAATTGGAATCTATACAAAGCCTATAGCTGGAACATATAAAATTTTCAGAAAAATTACCTGTAAGTCAATTTTCGTACAAAATGTGCGGGTTTAATTTCCGTTCCGATCATCAGTATCCCTTCATTTCCAACTGGCAACAATTCCATTTGAAATATCAAACTGAGCAGTCCAACATGAACAAGTACGAATTAGTTTTGCCCAAACATACGTAAAGGCGATTCCACATTATCAATCAGAATGATCCAAAAAGCACCTGCGTGCTGACGAGAATTTGTTCTCTTTCACTTCAAGTTTCCCGAGAAGTATACTATATAGAAGGAAGGTTCATTTAGGCTCGGTTAGATTAGATTGTTTAGAAAAAGTAGTATCCTTTCTTATGAAGAAAGGATATTTCTCTTCCTCATGTTACTGCAGAGGAACTCCTGTAGAACAATGGATTTGTATTTGTTCCTGCAAAGCAGGACAATCTGGGTATTGTGAAACATGTAGCTGTTCTTTCATATGTCAATTGATTTGCTCGTCATGTTTGAATTGTTTGAACAATCACCAATTCTTCACTAAACTAATAAAAATGTAATAATGTAAAAAATTAACCAACTCAACTATCATCCCTACCAACAGTGCCAACACTTTATGTCATTGACAAGTGGTCAACTACAGCTACAGCAAGCTGTATGCAATGTAGTCTATGCACTTCATCCATAGACAACAGTTTGTTTTCCCCCAGTTTGAAGTTCGTATTATGTAACCTAGATGTCGCGAATAGAACTTGTGACGTCAGTACCGTTGAAGATTTTCCGTTTTGTTTTAACGGGAGCATTTCTTTGGGAATTCATTTTCAGAAATCTAGAATAAAGAAAATAAAAATTAAAATTCTCTATGCATTTTCTCATAGTGATGAACGTCGAAAGGAATTTTTACTAGAAATGAGTGTTCTTGCCTATTCCTGTATGTTTGAGCAGAACGAATTCTGGCGTCCGACACAGCGAACCGATCACCACCACCACCAAGTACCATTCCATCCGGCCATCCTTACCCGCATAATGATAGTTACCTCCAGCCGAAGACGCAGCCTTGACCAGCGTGGCGACGGGCGTCCCGACGCCGCCCGCCTGCATCGCCTGCGCCAGCACCTGCGGCGACAGGCCCTGCAACTGCGCGCCGCCGCTCCCGGCCGCCCCTCCCGCGTTAAGCAGCTTCTGCTGCTGCAGCTGCTGCTTCTTGAGCAGCGCGGCCACCTCGCTCTCGGTGACTGGTCGAGATAGGCCGGTCTTGCCACCCACCGTCACCGTACCCTGTATGGAATAATGATAGTAATTTGATATAATAGGAAATATCGAGGAGTTCAGTCAATCAGGCTACAAACTACTTTAGTTCTATGCCAAATTTTCATTTACTTTTTCAAGTGTACTTCTCCTATATATTTCAATTTTCATTTCAATACTGAACATATTGGTAAGTTATATTTTTATATCATAATACACCATAATATTCTATTCGCTTTGAGAGATAATGTCAATTCTCAATTTCAGAGGATTTTGATTTTTCATGCTCTTTTCTTGGTTTAACATTTTGTATATTTTCACATGCTTTTACTTGTAGTAATTTCTTAAATACGGCTGAAGATGGACCGTTGAATAACTACATCAATATTAAAGTTGTGGAGATGACTTTGAGCTTTCCTTCCTTCTTTCAAAAATTCTACTCCACTTTGAGCAAACATGGAATTCTACCAGAGATTAATGTTGTTTTTCTGCAACCGACACAAAAGTCGTCCATTTTGATACCAAAATTAGCTCTTTAATTGACGTTTCTATTACTGACACAAAAATAGGTATGTTGCTAGGCAACATATTCAGTTCCTAGGAGCTAGAGTTGAATTTTAGTTCCTAGGAGCTAAAGTTGAACTAGGAAGTAAATAGGATCTACTGGACGTCATCAAGAATAAACTACTTTCTGACGGTTGGTTATTTGGGTTGAGACGCATACCTGATTTGTTTCCGATTTCAGCAGATTTGGCATTTCATACCCATGCTGGAGATATAAATACACCTTATTATTGTTGAGTATTGAAATTATAAACATCTCAGTTGAGTATTTTTGTTTTGATCAGGGAAGCCTTCAAATACTTGCGTGATCTGTATTTCATTCGTTATTCTCGGGATGGATAACTTGTTTTTGAATAATCACGGCAAGCAATAGTTTTTTTGTATCAAACAACGATATTGTTTAGCTTCATTTGATTATCAAGTCGAACACAGTGTAGTATGGAGAGGAATAAATAATCACTATTATCATATCAGCAAGGTTGGATGGAAGAGCACAAGGTTGGATGGAAGAGCAAGCTCTGCTATGAATTTTTCATGCGCAGATATTGAATCCTGCCTCTTGTTAGGTTTTCTGTACTTGTATGTAACCTCTCAATAAAAGCCTTTATTATTATTATTATTATTATTATTATTATTATTATTATTATATGCTCACTAACTTAACATTTTCCACGTCTTGTTCCTATAGCTGGCACTGGCGCGGTATTTGCCATTAGAGCACCTGGTCCATACACAAATATGTCACTCTGTAGTTGTATTCATATTGAAACTATACAATACGAAAATCCTTGAAAATTGAATGAACCTGCTGTTGATGCAGGTAGAATGTTCTCACCACACGGATTATTTGTCAATATCTGTTGCATTACACATTGGTGGTTACTTCACATGTTTATTTGAGTTGATTGTTTCGGTTGCAGAAAAAATAGCATGTTTCATTCGGATCAAAAGTGACTTTGTTCGACTCGCAAATTTTGCTTTCGCTCGGCTTCGCTAAACGCTCCGCCTCTCAAATGCAAAATTCGCTTGTCAAACAAAGTGTCACTTTTGATCCTAATAAAACAATCTACTATTATTCTTGATGTCGTCCAGTACATCCTTTTTAGTTCCTAGGAGCTAGAGTTCAACTTTAGCTCCTAGGAACTAAATAGGTTGCCTAGCAACATACCTATTTTTGTGTCAGTAATTGACCATTCCAGAACATGTGATTTTGACATGGTATCTTGAGGGGCACACAAACCATCTGTTAGGTTATCTTTGATGAGCATAGTCCTGGCCATCCCTGCCATATCCACAATAAAATAACAGTTTCACCAAACAAAATTATGAAATTCTTTCGGGTATCAACTCGGATTCCAAGGAAAACGATCCCACTAATTCTGGTTTCATATGACAAATCTGAACAAAACACAATGTTTGCCCCTCAGCAACCTGTCAAATGACGTAATTTTGGAATGATTAATAGAAACGTCAATTCAAGAGCTAATTTTGGTATCAAAATGGACGACTTTTGTGTCGGTTGCAGAAAAACGACGTTAATGTTCATGTCGCCAACAGATGATGTTGCTAACTCGATGTCCCCGACCGACCATCCTACCTGTCTCACGAACTGCGGCCTCTGCTGCTGCTGCTGCGCCTGCGTCAACTGCACCACCGCCTGCTGCCCGCCGATAGTCACCGTCGATGTCTTTACCGCGCCCGAGGGCGAGGCGTGGTGCAGCCGCAGCTGCTGCTTCAAGTTCGCCTGTCTGATCATGGCCAGCTGCGCCTGCCCTAAGAATGAATAGGTAGATGTTCATTGAATGGGAAGAAAACATTCTTATACAGCGTGTCCCATAAGTCATGGAGCAAAAAAAGTTGTATTATACAATTTCCGAATTTAGTAGTAGTATTTAAATCTGACAGCGGCATTTAAAAATCAACTTCAATGACAACAAAGGAAAACTACATTTTTCTTAGGTAAATGATAGTAAGTAACATATTATGTCATAATAGTTATTTATAACTCACTTTTGTAATCCGATCATGTTCAGAATTGGTATCTAAGGGTTTTCGAAGTCGGAGATTATGATTCTTTCATCAAAATTTGGAAATTTAGGATGGCGGATCCAACATGGCGGAGTATTGTAATTATGGTCCGATTCTATTCAAAATTGCGTGACTGGGGCTTTTTGGGGTCGGAGATTATGATTCTCTCGTCAAAATGAGCAAATTCAAAATAGCGGATACAATATGGCGGACAAGTTTTTCAAATTATGAACCGATCCTTTTCAAAATTAGTATCTGGGGGTTTTTGGAGTTTGAGATTATGATTCTTTCGACAAAATTAGAAAATTCAAAGTAGAGGATCCAATACGGCGAACGAGTTTTTCAATTATGATCCGATTCTATTGAAAAGTCGCACATTACGATTCTTTCGTCAAAATTTGAAAAATCGAGATGGCAGATCCAACATGGCAGACGAGTTCTGTAATTATGATCGGATATATATCACATATATATACACTGTTGATGGCTTTTGTTGTGCTATAGTTCCGAAAAATGAGTCAATAATACCGTCTCCGAGGAAGAACTGCAAGTCCTTTTATCTTCCATTCGACTTCGCGGTTACGTATATTACTAAACAACCACTAAATTCACAATTTTTTGAAATCAAATCACAGATTAGACTGACAGAAGTGACATCAGATATTTGATTACTTCAAAAGAATGTTAAAGATGCCTACATCGCAGGTGTCCCTACTGTTAAAAACTTAAAATTTCACGTCGATAATTTTCAGATTTCAAAATAATGTAATATATTCTCAATATTAATTCGTCCTTCCTTCAGTCACAGAAAAAAATAGTATATTATACACGGGAAAAATATTAGATTTTAGCTCACGGTTTGTTGTCTTTCTCCGCGACGCGTAGCGGAGGGAGACAACACAACCTGGAGCTAAAATCTACAACTTTTTTCCCTTGTATAATAAATAACTATTATCCTAGAATCGGGTTTGTCCGGTAACATATATTAATATATTGTTAAAAATGTTCAAAATATTTTTACCTGCCCCCCCCCCTACAGATATACGTCGTTGGTGAACCAAACACCCTGTATACTTTTATATTCAGTTACTCACCTATGGCCTTGCTGGAGGCGGGCGAGGGCGTCGAGGTGGCCACCACCGTTTTGCCGGGCAGGCCGGAATTGGCGGAGACGATGAGGCGGTGCGTGGCCGGACTGAGGCCCGACACCGACACCATCGTCGACGTTTGGATGGGCGAGGCGATTATCCGTTGCGTACGGAGGGCGGCTGCAAGATCACATTCGATTTGTGAGTTTCAAAAGCTTGCAACTGTGACGTTGTTAGTAGAGAAACATATTCATCTCCACAATCAATAATCTAACGGGTCATAGCCATCTTTAGAGAGGAAAGCCGCGGTGAGCCCAGTCTGGCAACACTGTTCAAAAGGTCTACCTCCAGCCATTTGCACAAATACGATATATGGGTTCTGGATGTAACAGAGTGATTGTTTGCAGTTTTCAAGAGTGAATGGTCTTATATCACAAAAAATTTTTATTCCATAATTCGATTGAACTCACCCAAACTAGCTCACCACCGCAAACCGTTGAGCTGAGCTCCCTACGTTTTATAAAAAATTATTGAAATCCCCGATTTTTCGGACCTCTGAAAACGAGGCGATGATGTGACGTCAAAACCCTAATACTGAAACAGGACTATTCCAGACAGAGATGAATGATACATGATTTCTGGCAGAGTGAATTAGCGCGAGATCACAGTTGAAAGAATTAATATATCAGTTGCCTCAGTCTCCGTCCGGCGTTTGGTATTTTCTTTTAACTATGGCGAGATGAGGTTTCTACGTCATAAGAGGGTCCGTTTTCAGATGGTACTATTATTTATGTCCAAAAATTGAACATTCCAGTAAATTTTTCGATCGAATTATGTCGTCTATCATTATTTATGTATGAAAGGATCATTATAAACATGGTTTGAGTTAAAAGTTCTACCAAGGTGTACACGCCCATTGATGTGTTATCAATGTGAAATATTGTTGAAAGCCAGTGAAAAGTGTAAAGAAAATTCTAGTGTTCGAGTTATAAGTGAAAGGGTGTTTGTGTGTGTGAAAAAGTCTCATCAAACATTGTTTTTGAATTGAGGTTATGTTTTTTGTTGTCTGATTTCTGGAAGCGAAGTAAGTAATTCCAACCTTTCTCGTAAGGAGATGCCATAAATAATGGATGTGTGACAGTAAGTCAAATTACGCATCGGAAAAGAAATATGTTTCGATTTTTATATTTCCAAAAATGAAGAACTGCGAAAAAGTGGATATCTCCGATACACCGTAAAAATATATTAGGAAAGAGATGTAATAATAGTTATTTTTGTATCTAGTTGTTCATTTGAGAAGCTTTTTATGTTGTAATGTTCATAATAGTAGGCTTCGCAATTACTAAAGTCACAGATGACTGCAAATTAATGCAGTTTGCTCCCAAATCTGTCGACTCAACTCCCCTAAGGGCGTTTAATAAAGGAAAAGTTGAAAAATCCAGAATCTGAAGTCAATTAATGTGTGTTAATTTAATATAATTTCAGAAGAATATCTTTATAAGAATGACTTTCAAATAATGTTATTAAATAAAGTCGTAATTTTTTACATAACGATCTCTAGGGATCAGTATTCGTTCATACGAATAATTGTTTCATTGATTTCAGGAGGATGTTTTGCATTAGCAATGGAAGTAGTAGTTTTCACCCGTCATTTACCATTGTTCTTTATCTAATTGAACGCTTGTGGAAATGCCTTTTCAGTTTTTGCTATTTCATAGTTATAAATGTTGTACAGGGAGGCTGGAATTCCGAGCCTTATCATTGAGATCCCTTAAACCGTTAAGAGATCCAGTCAGTTGAAATATGAATGGCAAAGTTTTATGCCTAACAAAATGCCGTTTTGAAATTCGAGTGGGTAATTCCATGAGTGCGTAATTGCTTTACAACACGCATTACGTACTATAATTGTTCTACTGCCATATAGTATATTAAAAAAGTTTGGGCAAACAGTCTGAATTATAATTCTTGACAGTTATGTCATCCGCTGTCGACGGCGATTACGCGATCAGGACATACATATACTGGCGGAATAAACGAAAACTGTGCGATGTGCTTACTGTGCGTAAAGGGCTAGTTACTGAGGCTGTATCTCGTTTGTTCTTGCCTACTTTAGTGGCCGTAGGTAAAACAAACTACGCATTTTCATTGCTATCGAAAAACGAACACCTTTTTCGAATAAGTGCGATACACCATTAATTACAGGAGATTGAAAGCTATTGAAATCCATAATGAAGAATACAAAAATACAAGGCGGAAATGAAAAAAAAAGGTTTTGAAGGCAGCTCAAAGACGAAACGTCGGTGAGTTTTTTCAATAAAAGATAATGTTGAACACAGTCGAATGCTCGACTCATATCACAAAACAAATAGTCATGAGAAAATAAAATTGGTGTCGCGAATATTCGGTTCTTAAGAAAATATTGGCATTTTGTGAGGCATAAAATTTCGCATAAGTTGACCGACTCTGTATCTCTTACGGTTCACAGGATCCCAATGATGACGCTCGAATTTCACATGATATGACTTACTGGGAGGCGTTCCCGGAGCGGACACCGACACGCCTGCGACGGCAGCACCCCCACCACCGGCCTGCGTCACGATCTGCGAGCTCCCACCCGCCGCCGCATTCGCCGCAGCCCCGCCATTCGTCCCGCCGCCTGCCGCGCTCTGCGCCTGCTGCTGATTGGCGATGATGCCCTTCATCAGATGCAACCTGGCGGCGAACTGCTTCTGTTCGGCCGTCAGATTCTTCTTCTCTTTCGCCAAGCGCTCGGCCCTTCGCGCGGCCACCTCCACCGGCAACACTGGATGCTCCAAATCGATGCCGCACTCGTTCGACACGGGCGTACTCTTCGTCTTGTTGATAAGCGGATTGTTGGCAACCGTGCGCGTCGTCGACATCTTTTTATTGGCAATGGTGCGCAGACAGTCGAACCGATCGCACATGATCTGGGAGAAGGTGGAGTTGTTGTCTTGCGTGTAGATTTGCGAGGTGCGCATAGAACGGTTGGACTTTGCCGGCAGCGGGAACTTTTGCACGCCGGCTTTGTTCTTCTTCTTTCTGAGGTAGCTTTCCAGGCCCATTTGTTTGCCTTCTTCGCGCAGCATCAGATGCGACTCGTACCTTTGCCGGCATTGTTTGGGGGATCTGTACGAGATGGACACGGTGTTGACGTAGTCGGAGACGAAGTCCCAGTTGGGGGTGTGGCCTGGGTTCATGACGATCAAGTTGAGAGGTAGGCCTTGGAAGTTCTGGATGACTTTCAAGAGGGCCATGTCCTCGTGTATCGTCCAATCGTGGAATAGGGGCTGTTCCACCGACTGTTTTTGTACGCTGGATTTACCGGGAAGCGGAATGGATGGTCTAGCTAACCCCCTATATTTCTGAAGTTTCATATCGCGTCGCATCTTCAGAATTGTCGCAGAGTGGAACAGAGATTTGGGGGCGTTGGTCGATTCTTCCTTGCGAGGTATTTTCAGAGCTCTCCGGCTTTCTACTAGTCCCGCCTCCAATCTACTCCTTTTGGCCTCTCTCTTGACATATATCGGGGGCAACTGCATTTCTCCCATTATGTTTGTGTCGTACAGAAACGCCATGGTCTGATCTATGTAGATGTCGTTCTCTTGCTGAGGCGGAGTGGGAGGACACCACATCTAATGAAAATCCAGACGTTTAATGATACCAAGTTGGGTATTATTGTGTTAATACTTACAGGCATATGTTCCGTGTTGTTATCAGAAACCCAGATCTGTAATTCAATTTTATAATAATGATGAGTAATTCGTGATTATCAATTTTTTATTTCGAACCACCCCACAACTGAGAAGAAAGGGAATGGGGATATTGATATTGAATTGATTCAATACTAAAGTCGTTGAGAGTAACCATGTTTGCCTGCAATTTGGAAATTGCAGTGAAAAATTGTCTCATACGCCAATCATTAATCTTTGAGAAATAAATAATGAAAGAACTATAAATAGTATCATAATTTTTCGAATAAATAAATTACCTACCTTCATGACTCAGCGAATTCTCAGAAATAAAAAACCACTTCCAAGCTTCTTGACAACATGTGCCTCCGAGGGAACATTGTGAATTCTAGCACTGTTTGAAATTTTCATTTCGTTGTTTCTCTTATCGATGGACTTATGTCACACGTTCATCTGTTTGAACATGCCAAATATTGCGTTTCTAGTTCATTGTCAAAATTCTTTTCATCACTAAGATTTACCGATTCAGAACATAGAATAACATCAGTATGCAGGCACTAAATCTCATTTTCTTCAGTTCAAAAGTCACCGATTAGCAATTTGTTTTGATCAAATGGAAACCAATATTTTTCTCAATTGTTTCTGATAGCGATTTTCTTCTAGATTCTATGAAATACAACAAATTGAATAAATACTATCATGAAAAAATTTAGAACAAAGACAACAATATTGTGAAAATACTGGATAGTGCACAAATAATACACTGATTCTCAATGACATTTACTGCAATCATGTCATTATTTTTCGGATATCCTTATAGACGGAGACATTGTTTTCCTAATTATGCACCATTCAAGTTATTATACATCACTAAATTATGAAAAAACAAACAGAAAAAATCAAGAAAAATGATTTGGAAATAGTGCCTCCAAATGGGATAGCACTATAAAACAGCACTGAACTCCATTTTCATGTATGCTGGTTCAAGTTGTAACGAGCATCCAGACCAAGTTTTCACTGTCATTGATTTTTTGTCGAGAGTTCACGAATCATATCCGCTAGCTGTCAATATTAGTTTATTCAATCACAATAACGAGATTCATTTGTTCTCATTTCATCAATTATTATAATTTTCACTAATACACATGTTGATTGGGAAGATTTGATAGGCTATTATAGTACTAGCAAAAATGAAAAAGAAATTTCATATGAAATTGGAATGCTTCGGAGCATGATATTCGAGCTACAGGTTGTTGAAGTTGAAAATATTATTCGAATTTCTCTGTTAACAACCAGTATAAGATTTTATAATGCAAAAATTAAGTGTAGTCGGTGAATGACAAATTCTCAAAATTTCCAGATTCAACTTATTATGAATGAACCTACATTAGAGTTTGAATTCATATCAGATCTCCATTATTATTCTCTTGGAACAAGAAAGTTGTATCTTTTATTGCCAATCGGAATTAATAGAAGTCATTAGCTCACTGAAGATATAGTCAATAACGAGGATTTTCGCAATTTTTCTTTCAATTCTTCCTACAACTAGGTTTTCATGTACCCCTTATTTATAGATACCATAACGCATCTCTCAACGTTCCGCAAGCAATCCTTACCGTACGACGATGGAATAAAGTCGGCATTTATAGATTTTTCTGAATTTGACACTTGCCAATCTTGTCATATTCAATTTGTATCAATATTCTTGTTCCAACGATTGGATATCATTTTTGGAATCAGCATCATTTCAAAGCACGAACATCAATCTGTTCAAGGTACTCCAGTTCGGAAATGTGCGGCAGCAATAGCTTTTGCAAATCGGGAATATCGTCAGCTCAAGATTGAAGTTCTGAATAGGTATTGAAAATGTAAAGGTTTATTTCAAGCTATAGACACCTTCATGTCCATGAGAATGCCCAACAATTTTTCAAATATACTGATATGGATTTGAAAGGAAAAAGTTAACATTAATTACGCACTATTTTCATCTTCCGGTTGGAAGTAGCTTTTGGTACCTCATTGAAAATGAGACAAAGTTTGACTGATAAACGCGTGCGATGGCGGAGAAAATGGCCCCAAAAGACCAGAAAAATAGGTTTTCAGCCAATATCTCCTAAAATATGGCAGTTAGAGCTTTTCGGTTCAGATAAAAATTGAAGTTCAGTTAATTTTCTACAAAAATGGTCCTTATCATTTTTCTCGGAAATTTGCCCGGTTTCGAGAAAAACGGCACGAAGCGCACCTCGAATAATGAGCTTCTGTTGTATGCCGGAGAGCACAGACCGTGTATTTACACATCGGCGGGGGGACAAATTATTCAATAACTTTGTTAAAAATGCATATTTTCTCATGACTCAAAGTTCACGTGAAAGAGAAATTCTGCTGCTATCATACCCTGTGAATTGAGTCACGCTTGACTCTTTTGGCCATATCGGAACATGGGTCAAACTTTCTGCTCCCGGTCAATTTTGATCTCGCTAGGAATTTGTTCCTATTTTTTTTTTTGTATTGCACTAATTTACTCAAAATTTTCTTGATTATGGGTCCTCATAAGGTCCTTTGTCATCCCTGAAATTTGTATACCCTAATTTTTTTAAATTTTCATTTAATCTTTGTTTATTGAATCCCAATTTTTTGCTGTTTTTGGAGCGCGGGTAAAGGTCTACTTTTCGATTGTGCAATTACTTTTTCAGACGAAGTCGTCCATTTTTCAATAAAATTAGAAAAAGCGGGGTCAAGGAAAAAACGCACTTTTTTTTTCGGTGGTTTTTTTTTCTCCGTGGGAATTCCCACCTTTCCATCGATGTATATAAGTCATACCTTTGATATCCCGGGAAAAAAACAGTATATCTAAATGTACACGCTATAATTTATTACTTTCGTTCCTCCGTTGTTCGCCGCGTGTGTGCTCTACGTGGCGCTCGGGTCGTCTGCTACAAACCATGCGGCACGCAGGGTATGATAGCAGCAGAATTCCTCTTCCACATGAACTTTGAATCATGAGAAAATATGTATTTTCAACAAAGTTATTGAATAATTTGTCCCCCCGCCGATGTGTAAATACAAGGACTGTGCTCTCCGGCATACAACACAAGCTCATTATTCGAGGTGCGCTTCGTGCCGTTTTTCTCGAAACCGGGCAAATTTTCTACAAAAATGATAAGGACCATTTTTGTAGAAAATTAACTGAACTTCAATTTTTATCTGAACCGAAAATCTCTCAACTGCCATATTTTAGGAGATATTGGCTGAAAACCTATTTTCCTGGTCTTTTGGGGCCATTTCCTCCGCCATCGCACGCGTTTTCCAGTCAAACTTTGTCTCATGTTTAATGAGGTACCAAAAACTACTTCCAACCGGAAGATGAAAATAGTGTGAAGTAACGTTAACTTTACCTTTTTTTCCTCCTTCATTTATTGGACTACTGTGCAACCATCGGTTCCAGCTTCGATACCTACCAAATACCAAAATCAACAAATAGGTATCATATAGAAGAACAGTTTGCATCAATCAAGTACTTCATCATCAATGAAAGAATACATTATAGTTACCAGATAATATATCCATAAACCGTACAATATCCGTGCACAATCTATATTCTGTATTGGAAAAAAATCCTATGTTTTATCTGCTATCGTGTATAGGAAGTACTTGCGTTACGTTACGTTATGGAATCTATGAATGAAGGATAAGAACGACAATTGCATAGTAACGTAATGAACGATATTTTCGGGATTGAGGGTGGGTAGGTGTGGGGTGGTTCGTGGGTTTTAAAGAAGCCCCCTTGCTCATGTCCAACGGGGCAGCGTTTTGGTGTCCGCTATGGACAAAAGAGCAGTAAAGGCACCAAAACCGACGGCCACCCCGCAAAACAAAACCAACATTTGCAAGAGAACTTCTTTATTATTTTTTTATCATGTATATATATAACTATGTACAGTTGTCGGTACAGTGATGGAAGATATGTCTCCATTACATTCACAAATTACGTTTTGTGAATGCCATGTTGAATTTCTATGATAATACAAAATTAAAATTCGTATGAGAATGTTCATAAATCACTGTTGTGTGTTCCTGAATAAACTCGACAGCATTTATTCCTCCTGTTATACAAATTCCACTTCTTGATTTGACACAATACCGGATGTTTCACCTGAATCATAAACTCTTTTTGACAATAAACTTGTTTAAAACACAAGAAATTATAGGTGCAATTAATCTGTTTGTAGTCATTAGCGAAAGCATAAAATTGATTTGAAAGAATACTACTTGTGATGTACTGGTTGTGCTAAAAGTTAAAAAAATATATTTGACTTATAAGGTCACTGCAGCCTCATTAAAATCCATGAGGGAAAAATAAATCAATATTCCAACTAAAATGCTTCAAAAAGATAGATACTACAAACAAGACAACAAATAATGTGAAATTATTAAAATACTCACTTAGCTTATTATTTCCACAGAAATTAAAACCTCTGTATCTGTAAAAGTTTTTTCAGTTCATGGAATCGAATGACCAAATGTAAATTAAGAATATTTTCATACTAATACCATTTCCATTCAACAGGGAAACGATACCTACGAACTTTTTTTTCCAGCGAACGAGAAATTATAGCAGAGAGATATGTCAAAAATTAAGGATTCCTCACATACAACATTGTTTTGGAGAAAATCATTCCATGAAATGAATATATCTTTCATTAGACAAATAAAATAAGAGTTTTTCTTCTGATATTTTTCAAAATTTAATTTCGAGTACTCAAACAGATCTTTCATAGTCCTTTTCTCAAATCCCTCATAAATTCCAGGAAATACCCAATGGTTTACCATCTTCTGAAATATTCTATAGATTCCACATGATGTCTTAAGGATACCCAATACCTTCCTAAAATTGAAATGATATCCTATTTCTTCTATGACTACATTGAAATGTCTCAAAGTTCCCATGATTCAATAATACCCAATACTCTCCTAAGATCATTCAATGATTTTTTACTATTTCCTAATTCACCAATACATCCCTTGAATTCTTGCAGCTCCCTGAAGATTTACCAACAAATTCAATAACTACCCAATGATTTCCCACAACCACCAAATAGAATTCACCTTACAATTTCCTAGGATTGATTACCCAATGATTTCTCACCAATTCCTTCCTTGATGATTTTCTAGGAATACCCAATGATGTCATATGAATTTTCGAAACTACTTTTCACGTGGTTTACTCCTCTTCAGAAAACAAAAGGAAATATCACAAAAAAACTAATTTTGGGTTCCCGATGGATTATTTCAAATTATGAGGAAACTTTTTTAAAATAACTAGATTCTCTCTGTCTATTAAGCTGTCTATCAAAATCCGAAACAAATCACAATTTTATTGTCAAAAAAGATAGATTATTCAGGATTCTAGCCCTAAACAGGAGGAATAAAATACAAATGAATAAATATAAATTAACCATCAGTATGCCTGGATATTTTTCCAAGTGACAAAATCTGGAAGGCAACAAACATGTACCTACACATTCACACTATAATTTACAAGTATGCACAATAAAAGCGGTTCCGTAAAAAAACTATTAACCCTATTCTGTACAAGTTAACAAATGATCACATATTCACAATTAGAATTATTTTTTTGTGGTCCGGATTCACATCTAACACTGAAAGACCAAGAACCGGTACGACTTTACTAAAAAATAATGAAAAGTTCATTCATTGGTCTGAAAAACATTCACAGCCCAGTCGGAGGTCACGATTAGATCGATAGTTTTGAAATTTTCTGAAATCGTACATTTAAAGCCCCTTCCTTCTTTGGAAAATAAAAACTTTTTCGAAGTTGAGACGAATCCTCGCTATCTATGAAAATATTGATATTATTGTGTTTATTTCACATGCATAACTTCTAATTCTCATTTCGATATGTCAAGGTACTTTTGTTAGAAGAAGAGACAACTTTGGCAGGGAGTCATGGAGACATAACATAAGTTGAAATATAATAACATTAACAAATGGCTTCATAAACTTGTGTTCGGAAATACTTCGTTTTCGGATATATTTCTCAATCACGCTGTCATTGTCATGCAGAATTAATTGCATATTATGATTTTCCACCTTGAGAAACCCTGGGTACGAATTTTCTGAGAAAAAAAAAATGGATTTCAACACGGTGTATCTCCGAAACGAAGCATTTCCGGACACAAGTTCATACCGGGTGACACAGGAGACATGTAACAGCGTGTAGCTTTTTTATTTGAAGAGATACAAATTTGAAATTCACAAGGGTAATATTATCGATGATGGCGCTTCTTTTGAATCCATTGACACTTTTCTTCAACCACCTGTTTGATCGGAAGTAGACTCAACTTTTTTTTTAAAATGTCACCCTGTATCTTTCTGTAGCCTATCATATTTGCCTTTCAATTCTCTATTCAACTATGTATTAAAATTATATTCGTTTATTAATTGGGTGTTAAATTGCATTTTATTGGAATACATGAAGTTGGCTGTGGCCCTAATGTAATGACATTTCGATGCTTAATAGGCTTATAAATGCAAAGATCATTACTTACTTAGACGATATCATCAGAATATTTTCTATACCCTAATCGGTCCCAGAAGATTTTCAATAATTTCATTGTTTAAAAAAATCATCCGAAAATAACTCACGATATTAGTGGCGTTCGGAATTTACATCAGACTGCTCTGATGAATCTGAATCGTTCGTTTACGACATCTAAATGTAGGGGAAGTAGATCTCATCCGTTCGGCAATTAAAATCGGAGCGATCTGACAAAGATCTTAATGCTCGGAGAATTTTGACCGAGCAAAGCGATTGATCTGAATTTGTGAGGTTAATGTTCAAATGTTTATGTATGACTGGCCGTTATGCTCGTATTCGTATTTTCAAAATAACGTTTTCATAATGAGAGAAATACAACTTTTTGATTCTGAGCAAGACAAAACACACTCCTTTATGGTGTCAGATGAGAATTATGAAGAAAATGTTACTAGAATTGCAGGTCAGTAAAATGAAGCACTGTTTCTTCGGCAAAATGTTCAACTTTTTTCAAAGCACATCGTTCCTCTTCATCATCCTCATCAAAAATAATTTGATGTCCCGAAACAAAAGCTAAATTTAGCACAGTTTCTGGTATACTCATAATTGAAATGGAAATAAATGAAATGAAAAAATGGGGTTAGGTTAGGTTACCGTCACACTGTCAACAAAATGTCCACTTCGTTCGTTAATTGCCGATTGCTCCGATCTATATGTGTCCACGTGCCTAGAATCTGCTCTTATCTGCGATGTAAATACCGATCGTGACTATTGAGAACATTAAGATAGAAACTCAGTTTTTTTCATTTGACTACTTGTGAAAAAACTATTTGTTTTTCTTTTCTGCCATGTAGCCATAATATGATCATCCATTTGAATACATGGAACTGAAATTGTTTTAATAATTGATGTATCGTCTTATATCGTGAGGTATTTCCGGATAATTTTTGAACTCAATGAAATTATTATCAATCTTCTGGGACCGATTAGGGTAAGGAAAATCCTCTGATAATATCGTCTAAGTGATGATCTTTGGATTTCTAAGCCTATCAAGCATCGAAATATCATTGTATTTGAGCCACAGCCAACTTCATGTATTTCAATAAAATGCAATTCAACAGCCAATTAATGAATGAATATCAAATTGTGATACATTAAAAATTAAAGGTGGTTGAAAAAAGTTGCCATTGGGTTCAAGGAAAGCGCAATCATCGATTAGATAACCCTTGTAAATTTCAAATTTTTATCTTTTCAAATAAAAAAACTACAGGCTGTTACATATCTCATGTGTCACCCGGAACAGACTTTTACTCAAAATTGTCTCTGGAATAAGTCATTTAAATATAAGGCTCTTGAATATACAATTCCTGGAAAATTAAAAAATAACGGTCCGATAATGACCTAGATGCCATTTTCCTATCTAGGTCGACTGGATTATCAAGGAGGATTGTGTAAAGATTTCGACGAACTACCAAAACCAGCAACATCATTTCTCTTTTTCACTGGCGTCTTTTTGACCCACCCATCCAAGGTCATGTTATTCGAAAACCTATTGAATCTATAGCTCTTTTTCCGGGACTCCGGCGACCTGAAATTGTCCGTTCGATTATTAACTATAGTAGAAATTTTCTGGAATTCCCCGACACCGTTGTCGCGGTGACTAGATTTGTCGTCAGTTTTACTGTGGATGTCCTCTTCGGGCAGATCGGTAACGTTTTTCATTGTAATCTCAGAGACTTCTTCAATATCATTTTCGTGCGAGTTATTCAACGAATCACTAGGCACAACTTCCTTTGCAGATTCAACTTTGCCTTCTTCAGATTCATCTCCATCTAGGTCAGCATCGGGGATACTATTCGAACTATCTCTGAACGAATCATCTCTTGGGGCAGAAATTTCCTCCAGGGAATCATCTTTGACAGCGACTTGGTCGGGTTCATTAATGGAAAGTTCATCAGCTGGAATGTTTTCAAGTTTTTCATCTTCTTTCAGATCCATATTTGTGGGAGTACTCTCCAAAGTTACCTCACTAGGAGCATCTTTCAGATCTTCAGTAACTGAACCTTCTTCAATGGGTTCAGCAATGGAAGAATCATCAGCTGGATTGTTTTCCTCTTCACGGTGCTCTTCAGATTTATCTTCCTTCAGATCATTTGTTTCTGAAACATTCTCCAAAGTAACATTGTCTGGAACAACACTTGAAGCACTCTCAGTGTCTGGACTTTCTTTATCCTCAGTTGAAATTTTATCGTCATCTAGTTGTTCTTCATTCTGTTCTTCAGCTTCATCTTCTTTCAGATTTGCACTCTCTGAAGCAGTCTCCAAAGTAACATTGTTTGCAACATCACTTGGAGCATCTTCAGTGACTGAATTTTCATCATCAAGCTGTTTGTTTGAACTACTTTCCAGAGTTGCATCCTCTGGAACATCACTTGCTTCTTTTATAGAAATGTCATCGGCTGGAATGTTTTCATCAGTTTTGACTTCTGGAGTACTCTCCGCATCTTCCACAGTTTTAGTTACTAAATGCTTTCCATCATCAGTCAAAATGCTAAGATTCACTGCATCTTCTGATGTACCCATCTCCGTTTCTTCAGACAGTTCAGTTGCATTTGCCACTTCAGAAATTGCAGAAATGGCTAGCACTTCCTCAAGTTCAGTAGCAGCAACTTCAACTGAACCGTCTTCTTGCGTCACGTCGCTCTTTTCCACAAGAGCACTGCTATCATTCTTCTCATCAGACAGATCTTTTTCGTTCACTGAGTCGAGTGTTATCTCCATTTCTTGGTCACTGGGAATCCTGTACTGCCCCTCGGCCACAATGTCGTTCAATATCACTTTGCATATCTTACTCTTGCCAAGCATCTTCAAACTAGGTTCTGTACTATTCACCTTGGGCAGTGCAACACAGCTGTTTGAAGTTTTCTTGGCAACCTTTCGCTTTTTCGTCAACAATTTAGGGGTCTTGTCATCGGAGTGACAGCTCTCATCCCCCGAAACGGACTTTCGTCTCTTCTGGATCCTCTTGTCGTCCGTCTCGTCCAAGTCGCTGTCCCCTCCCGCGTTCTTAATGTTCCTTCGGATGGGTTTTTCCCCAGGTAAGATCGGACTCACATCCAAAGTCCACAGATTGATGGCTACAGTGCCTCGAGATCGAGTCCTAGGCGAGTTTTTGTCCATGCTGTTGGACACCCTCCGCAAATCCGACAAGCTTAAGTTCTCGGGCTCGCTGCTGATGGAACTGTCATCAGTATCCCCGCCGTTGATCTGCGTCTCCTCCTCAGACTCATCAGGAGTTTCCTCCGCCTTGACAATAGCTGGTTTTTTGACGTTCAACTTCGTCTTCTTCTTGCTTTCCACCGTTACCGATCTTCTTCTGGCCTTGCGACCGCCTCTGCCCGTTCTGTTCCCTAAATGTTTATGCAACTTTTTCGTTTTACCGCTAACCTGATTGGTGGCGTCCTCGCGCGAAAACGTTAGGATGTCGCCGTCCTCTTCTAGTTCGCGCACGCGCCGCTCCTCTTCCTCGCGCATGGCGGCCAGGCGGTCCTGTTCCCATTCGCGTTTCTGCTGTTCGATTTCCCTTTCGGCGGCGGCGAGCTGTTCGGCCGACCATGCCGATTCCGTCGTCTCGATGAACTTCATGGCGTACTTTTCGATCGGCGAGAGCTGGAAACAAAGTTTGCTCGTCAAATCAGAGTCCCATGCACGTCTTTGACATTTCGAACAACAGAATTAGAAAAAAAAAAAGATGCAAACATATTTAATGAGAACAGTTGCGTTGTATTTATATAGAGGAAATCAAACAATAGGCAAGAATGACATTCATCACGATGGGAAAAGACACACAGAATTTTCATTACTTCTAGATTTCCCAAAATGAATAGGAAATGCTCTCATTTAAATGTGTTTTCACTTTTTTAGCAGGAGAGCTAAGACTTGTTGAAGCCTTCATCATAAAATTGAACACAATACAAAAACAAAGCTTTCTAGACAGACACCTTTTCACAGACTACTACTTCAGTCCAAACGTTGTGGATTATTAAATTCTCCACAGGCGGTAGATCTAGCACAATCCGCAGAAATTTATAATCATCTGTAATGAAGCGTTTTTAACCAACTTCATTACTACACTGGTTTTGATTAATATCTAAGTACCTGAGAGTGATTCTAGTTGAATTTCACTTGTTTGAAAGCTCGAAACCTGAAAACCTGAGAGAGCTGAGTAATTCATTGATTCCTGACTTTCCAAAGCTTTTCCTGATAATAAACTCAGATAAAAATCATTACAAACCTAAAGACTTCAATATTTTTCAACCCTTTGCTTATGATATGAAATTTGGATGAATTATTAATCAGTTTAAATGATGGATGTTTACCTGGTCATAACTTTTTTGTTATTGGATATATATAAATACTGAAGACAGCTAAGGGATCACTCTCTAATCTCTACCGTCACTAGTCCCTATCATCTACGCTAGACACTCTACTCTTCACCGGTGTCTCTCCTGGTTCTCTTGCTGATCTCTTAGTGCTCTCATAGTTCATTCAAAGCCAGTGCAAACTATTAATGTATACTGATTCCGTGTTGCACATGTAAGTTTGTATAATATTTTTCACCATCATTATTCATCCTGTTTATAGAGTCATTTCATATATTATGTTGTTTTTCATACCGATACTCACCGACCTGTGTAACAAATACAGAAATTTGTATTTGCGAAGGAACGTTTTTTTTGTGATTGCATATTCCATATTTCTTTCTCTGTTGCCATTGTTCTTAGTTTCGAATAGTTCCAATAATTCATTTAATGATTTTCAATATTTTCATTTGTAAAATTGTTGATTATTATTATTGACTGACGGCTGACACTGCCATAGTAAGTTGTCAATTCTTCTTCTTCTTTTCCTTGAGAAATCCTGTCTTGTGCTCCCGTGTCCCTGTGCTTGGTATCTTGTCAGGCTGTGGCCGGTGGTTAATGAAATTTTGACATGAATAGAAAGATATAATTAACCTTACTAATATCCCGATATTAGAAAATCGAAGGAAAAGGAAAGATAAATATGAATTGAATCTGTTTTATTCGTTTGGAACTGTGTTTCCGATTCTTCAGGTAGACGTTATGAAATAGTTTGAATAAATAATTCTCCAGGCCTAACCTAAAGATACCAGAGACCCGAAAGATAGTTGCTTCGATTTCTGTAATTATCCAGAATAAAAATAGAAACCAGTATTCCAGGCTAAACCCAGGGTTTGTAATTAAAGCCTACAACCCCATGGCTCCTTTATTGATCCCAGGTCTCATTCAATCATTACAAATAGCACTCTGTATAACTAATTTTCCAGGCCTAACCTGAAATACCAGAGAACCGTTTTCGATAAAGATATTTGCTTCGATACCAGTAGTTATCCAGGATAAAAATAGCAACCAGTATTCCAGGCTAAACCCAGGGTTTGTTATTAAAGCCTACACTCCCTTGGCTCGTTATTAATTCCAGGTCAATTCAATAACATTGACCCCTGTACTGTAGATACCGAGGTAGGTATACCTCCTGTACCTGTTGCTACTTTGGGCATCTGTACAAAAGTAGCTTTGTGCAGAGCGGGTGGAGTAAACTAGGGTCCCTTGATGGAAATTGATGTTAAAGTAATCTTAACAGGATACGGACAGATCCTCGTCTCTTCTCACTCGTGAAGTGTTTGTGAAACAGTTATATAGTTCCATCCTCATTCAATTCTGGGGATAAACACTAGATTTTTGACATTTGCTGTTTTTTAGGTTATATTGAGGTCACTCGCAATGATTATGCTGGAATCGGATCATAATTACAAAACTCGTTCACCATATTATGATCTTCCTCAATAAGTAAAGACCCTGTACATAACAATAATTAAAATCTTGAATGATTTTCTGTAGCGCCCATGGATATGACGTGACAGCAATGTCAGGGATGCCAGTAGACAAAACTAAAGTCTCTAGATCATTAAAAAAGAATGCAGCTATGATCTGTCCGTATCCTGTTAAGATGACTTTAACGTCAATTTCCATCAAGGGACCCTAGAGTAAACCACCTCATAAACAATCTGGCGCCCGAGACCTCCCCCCATCAAATACTAGAGTAGTCTCTGTCCGAACAAGCGCCAAAGTAAGGGCCCCAGAAATGAAGGCTGTTACACATCATTTTCTGCTGAAAACGATGTTGGATACAAAATATAAAAAATTTCGCCAGCGGTTACCTAGGGGTAAGAACATTTTTGTTCTCAGGAAGGAAATTGTCAAGTAAGGTCAAAGAAAAAATATACCTTGTCGATGATGTTGTTGATCTCCACCTCCGCCCTGCTCATCTCCGGCTCCCTCTCCCTCTCCTGCTCCTCCAGCGGAATGTCCTCGTCGAACTCGGCCAGATCGGCCACCGCCTCCGCCTTGGCCCATTTGGCCGCCTGCACGTCCTGGTCGTCCTCGCACGAGGCCAGCGCGCTCTCCAGCACCCCCATCGCCCCCATCGATCCCGTCGACGGTTTCTCCTCGTCGGTCGACGGGACGGGGTGGAGTGCTTTGTGGTTTTTGGGGTCGGAGGGGCGGTGAGGGGCGGCTGGGTCGGTTTGGTCGACGTCGAACAGGTCGTGTATGGTCGACTGTAAATGGGAAATAGGTTAGTTGCGGGTGGCGAACCAGGGGTCTAGACATAGTGGAAGGAGAAGATGGTGTGCTCCACAGAATGCTCAAACTCGTCTTGTTCTGCGCATGACGTCAGCTGGGATATAACTGTCATTGTTATTGTTTGTTTTCCTGATTGATGTCCCAAACTTCAGATATCAGATATCATATAAGTTCTAAAATGAAATGAAATAATTCCGAAATGCCCACTTGTTTCGTTTCTGGTTATGGAAATTCCAATTAATATACAAAAGGCACAGATATTGAATTTTTCTGCTTTTCCAGGAATGGAAAATAAACTCAAATAATGGTACCTACCTTATATTCCTTATACAGAGTGGGCCTTTGAAAACGAAACAGAGGCTCTGTAGGTCGCCAAAACCGGATTATCAAAAAAAAACTGAAACAGGTCAACTACATTTTCGAGGGGGACATCTTTCTAAAATATTTTCAGCCCTGCGGCGTTGCCGCTTCTAAAGAAAAGAAGCAACAACTTTGTTATTTCAAATGGAACACCTTGTATTTTATTGCATTTTTAGATTCTCCCCGAAGAGCTGATTTCATCAATGCATCACACTTAGGGTCTAGCTGTTATGGTTTCAGGGATATAAAGTGTTCAAAATCGAGATTTTTCAACTTCAACATTTTTTTGTGTCGAAACTATTCATTATTGGTCAAAACGGCTCTCATGTCCCGATCTCAACTTGTGATTTACTATCTACTGACATTTATTTGAAACAAATACAGGGTGGTTCAAGATTCAGAATTCTGATCACCCTGTATCTGTTTCAATTAAATGTCAGTAGATAGTAAATCACAAGTTGAGATAGGGACATGAGAGCCGTTTCGACCAATAATGAATAGTTTCGACACAAAAAAATGTCAAATTTGAAAAATCTCGATTTTGAACACTTTATATCCCTGAAACCATTACAGCTAGACCCCAAGTGTGATGCATTGATGAAATCAGCTCTTCGGGGAGAATCTTATAAATAATTGAAAATGAACTCAAAACAGTTAATTTCTCACAATATATAAATTGCAACAAAGATTTGAATAACAAAACGGCAAAAACTTGTGAACTATTTGGGTTTCCTCAATTTTGAAGTCAATAGTCATAAACACGAACACATAACCAGACAAAAAGATATGTTATCTCTTATCAAAATTAAATCAGATATGGGTGAAAGATCTTATACAATGGAACAATTCTCTATAATGAATTACCTACCAGACTGAAAAAAAAAAAAAATCAAGTGTTGAGAAATTCAAAACAGAACTGAAAAAATACTTATATCTTTGATTCTCTTACATCATCCTAAATCAATTCAAGAACTCATATTCAACAGTCTTTAGAAGATACAACATTATATGTACTATGTATATGATTTAAAATGATTATCTGATTATCTAATTTTATTTTTTTTGTTGCCCTTTCATAATTTTCCCTGCTATAAACATATATGTTTCTTGGGAATAATAAAGATTATTAGTACTGATGAGAATTAGTTATGTTTTCAGAGTTACATAATGTATGTTAACACCTAGCTTTATATAAACAATCTTCCTTTTTTAATATTTGCTGATGAGTTATCTGCTTCGACTACTTACAGCAATGTAAATTTGATTTAAATCACGAACAAACTTGAAAAATACTAGTTGATAAAAATCATTCGATTTGAACCGTGGCATCCCTGGCGATTACACTTGAAAAACTCAAAACTCACACTTTTGAAAAAGGCCGTTGTGAAATTGCCCCCCTCGATCGCCAAATCGCCCAGCAACCGCTTCTGATTGGCCTTCTTCAATATATTCTCCTCGATGGTCCTTTCGCTCACCAACCGATAGATGTGCACGTCCCTCGTCTGCCCAATGCGATGGCACCTGTCCTGCGCCTGCGCGTCCATCGTCGGATTCCAATCGGAATCGTAGAAGACGACGGTGTCGGCGCCGGTGAGGTTGACGCCGACGCCGCCGGAGCGCGTCGACAGGATGAACGCGAAGATGCGCTTGTCGCCGTTGAAGCGCTCCATCAGGACCTGTTCATCATTAAAATCATTTGAAATGAAAAAATAAATAAATAATGGAATTGAATCGAATCATACAACCATATCAAATAATTGTTAATAGCATTTCACTTTATGAGTACCTAATAAGGCTTATCTGGTGATAATGAAATATTGTATGGGTTGAAAAATTGGGCATGACGGCAACACTGTAACTGGAGACATTGGACTGAGCTAGGGTTCCTAAATGTACTTGGCACTGCTGTTTTGACGTTTTTTGTATGGGTTGCGTGCAAGAACTGTCAGATGACCGACGCTGGAGGCAAAACATTGAAACACAACGTCACTTTTCTTATTTGTTTACAAGTGATCGAAATAGTTTTCCACAATTATTTTGGCATATGAATCGTATCTTTACGCTATTCATCAATTCGCTCATGCCATCACATTGTGCTGTTGTAAAATGCACAAAAACTGCAGCGGAAGATGAAGCAATGCGGATGGTATATTATGATTTGAAAGTAAGTACCTACTATAGTCACTCACATATTAGTTTTCATTTTTGAAATTTGGTTATTTCTCTGATTTCTTATCGGAATTCCTTCTGCAATAGGAGCTAATAGAAATATACCTGAAATTGCTAGAATAATGCAAGAAATCGGATTCATGCAATCAATCAGGAGGACTGGTCTGACATGCTGACGATCGTGTGTGTTGTAGACATTTTCAATCTATTAGCAGCATTAGCTTGTATTGCAGAAGTGGCAGAAGGCAGAAGGAATTTTAATAAGGAATGACAACATTTCATAATGATAACTATGTGAGATTACTATTTACCTGAAAAATCATATTCCCTATAGTCTCTTGTTGCATTTTTTGTGCATTGTACAACAGCACAATGTGAAAGCATGCTTGAATTAATGAATAACGCAAGAAACACTATTCGTATGCCAAAATATTGTGAAAAACTATTTCAACCTTTTGATTCCTCTGTGTCTCTGTGTTTCAATAATTCACAGAAGAATGAGGTTGTGTTTCAATATTTTGCCTCCAGGGTTGGTCTTCGTGCACGCGACCTATATTAGAGTACGGACACTATGACAAGCACTGACAATCAGACATAACCACAAATAAATTGATGGAAAAAGCGGGAACTGACAGTACACGGACGTACATGACATAAATTTCAAAGGTTTGACAAATTGAGAGAATGGGGCAGACCACTGAGGGAAGAAATCCGTGCAAACCTCTTTCAATCGACGAATCATGATTTACGTTTTATGTACAATCAATATTATGAGTTGAAGTTGAAGGGAATCGAATCTATATCGATTTAAAATCAGCATATTTCATTCGATATTTCAAGAAGCCAAATATGATGGTGGAGCCGTGACGTTTTAGTCCGGAACTGTAGCTATCCCTCTCTGATACGTCATTCTGCAGAGTTGCAGTGTGATTGGTCAGTTCAAGGGCAATAAGCGTGTTGGGACTAAGACGTCGCACCACTCACACCAATGAAATGACAAAAAATCAAATGGCACAGGAATTGTATGTTTTGAAATGAACATATTCTAATTTTGTTTCCATGGTCTTAGCATGAATGAAAAAATTCAAAATTAATGCACTGGTAGTTTTTCAGTAAAGAGTTCACAATAATGTCGTTTTAAAAAATCAGTGGTCTCCCTCATTAGGAGAGCAAGTTTCAGCAGTTTCCAACTGCGAGAACACGGGAAATCAATTCACTCTATTCGAATTTCCATCAGATAACGTAATTCAACAAAAATGGAAACAGAATATGATGCGGCCGGCATGAAATATAGGTTCAGGCCACAAAATTTGCGAGGTATTCAAATTTCTTGGTAGGATATAGAACATTTTTCAACGCATTTTCATCAAGTACACTTCAGAACGGAAGATTTGATGTTGAATAATAGGATCGTATTGAGAGAAAGAGCCGAACCCACAATTTATAAACTGAGCAAGTATCGAAAAGAAACTTATTCCAATTTAGACTCTGGTTATTGCTTGTGATGGAATGATGGAGCAGAGATCACAATAGCCACCATGGAGATCATGGTCGATCATCTGATGATGAAACAGCAGCAACTTCCTGAATTGACTGACTTAAACAGATTTCACATCTCGGTTCCCAAGAATTGTTTAGATCATCCCCTCCCCACAAACTCTTATAATAATTTTGTGAAAACATATAGTCACTATGTGGAACCCTGATGTACCAGATATTGATGTATTTATATCAAAGAGTTGAATATATTGTTATCACTTCTTCAAAGATGATATTCCAAGTCTGAATGTGCATGTCCATGCAATCCTAGTGGATTTTGAACCACTTCTTGGGTACCAAGATACGAGCAAGATATTATCAGAGCACAGAACAAGAACGCTTAACGAGTGCACCATTTATGTTATAGGTATTGGAAATGATCTTCCGATGGCCGGGTTCAAACCAACAATCCCCTTAAGCAATGTGAACGGCGATCTATAGTGAGTCGAGCGCTGAAGTCCATTTTTATACCTACTTAGGTATGTCTTAGAGAACCTTTATTATTTATCCTAACTGAAATCAGCTGTTATTGTTGCCAATTTGTTCATGTATTAATTACTCATTACCTACCACTCTTGTATGTACAAGTGAAATTGTTCCATAAGAAATGAAAGTATGTGTCATTGGTTGAAATTCATCAGTTTTTACCCCATTCTGAACTTGTGATAAAAAAATATTCAACTGAACGTACATATAAGAGAGTCATTTCATAGGAATAGCATATGTATTTCGTTGGTATATATGTACATACCAACTTGATATCGACCTCCATTGAGGTCCTTCAGCCTTATCATTCAATATTCCTAGAAGAAACAATTTTCTAATCTATTAATCGTACCCTTTTACCCATTCGAGGACACGCTATGCACTCTCATACAAAAATCAGAGACAGAGAAAAATATATGGATGTACTCTTCCGAGGACTTGTGGAGGAACGTAGATGCGAGGATCCTTTAAGCGAAAAACATATTCTTGTCCTTGTCTGGCAAAACATATGATTTACTTCAAAATCATATGTGGTTATGTTTGATTGTCACTGCTTGAGCGAGAAGTGACGGCGCAGATGTGAACGGCGATATCCCGTGCAAAGAAGTACTAGACGGCCAATATAAGTCTCATTCCCAATTTCTCTGACGTAGTAGAGTGTACCATCTGTGTTTAATGGTTTGATGAGTGATAGACCATTAGGAGCTGCGATTAGAAGATTCAAGAAAGAGTTTATTGTGATGGTGGTGTTTTCATGAAAAATTTCATTACAAACATACCGGATCGAGTATATATTAGACACGTCTATCTTCGAAATGAATCACAAAATTAAGATATCAGAACTATTGTTAAAATCTATGGAAAAATTCGTTTTCTATATTTTTTTCAATTACCAGCTGAGAATGTTAGGAAATAATTATTGAAGAGAAAAGGATTTCATAATTGATATTTTTTTTCATCAATTAGTTTTTGTATATCAGATATGTTTACAGGATGATTCATCAATGTTGCTATTACCTACATGAAATTGATGGTAAATATAAGTAATCAACGATCGATTTCTTGTACATTAATCAACGACAGAGAATTAATTTAAAATAGCAATAACAGATATTGTATAAATACTGTCAAAAAAACTAACAAATGTTAGTAGATGAAATAGATGTTGCAAGGTTCTAGATAGTTCACAACAGTGAAGTTTGAGAACATGCTGGCCACTGCAATAATTATCTAGCACAGTTGCAAAAGTACAATAGCTATAAAAACTAAGGACTGATCGACTGTGCAAAATTCTCGTCCACATGACAGTCCTATTTTTGGATAAATTCAAAACAATCTCACATGAAGGTACGAAGATAAATCTTTATTCAATCAAGTCGAAAACACTTTAATGGTTCTTCAGGGCCATAACCTTACGTACTACCATACTAGAGTATAATTAGCTCCTATCCAAAAACTAGAACTCAGAACAAGAAGGTCAGCAAGACCGACACATTACTTTTTAGGCTCACCAAGACCCATCAGTGGTACTTGCACTACCATAAAATGGTCTGGAACTTTGCACTGTGAGAAAGACAAATGGACACGCATTTTTTTTTGCTCACCTGCCGTTGATCCACCTTGGTCGTCCCGTCCAACCTCAAATAGATGTGTCCGTGGAAGTTGAGGAAAGCCTCCAAAACGTCCAGCATTTTCGTCATTTGCGTGAAGATCAGTACGCGATGACCACCCCCCTACAAAAACATACTCATGACTGCCAAGATCGAGAAGCATTCAGGAGTATTTTCATCAGCAGTTGTAGGAAGTAAGAGATATTTTAATGGATAAAATTATGATAAGGACTATAAGGAGTTAGTTGTTGATGAAATGTCTGATTGTGAAGTTTGTAAAAAATTAATATATACGTTTTTTTTCTCCGAGATCAAATTTTACTCCAGAAAAAAATGAATAAAAGAGGAACTTGGCTCCTCCACCATTCCCATGACTTACTTTCTGAAAATCACACGACGTTGCCGACATCATCAATATGTCTAGAGTTCCGGAAATTGTTCTTTGAATGCATAATAACTTCTTCATAACAGCAATGGGATATAATAGGTTCTTCAATCCTACTTTGTCAAGTATTATGAATAATTCCCATTGATCTCTCATTGGCTGAATGAAGTTGATTACTAATGAAGATGAATTATTATAAGTTGCGATAGTATCTATAATTTTTCACTATCGTTATATTACAATATGTTATTCATAACTTTGTCATAACGGATCTATTTTCTAGGAAAGTTGCATATTATATCTTGCAACAGCGCTAAATACTTCCAGCTCTATTCGAGATATTTCAATGCATAAATAACAAAACCATAACCAGTCAGAATGAAGCCAATTATCTTCTGCACTCCTGCTCCGAGTACATTTTTGGTTATGTATGTTTCTGTTTACCAGTTTTACTTCTATTTTAATCATTCGTTTTTTATTCGTTAGCTATTCATTAGCTATTCTCTAGCTATATTCTTCACCTTCAGCTATTTTCAGACTACATTCAGAATGTACGTCACAGTTGGCCGTTCGGAAAATTAGAAATTGCTTCAATTTAATGTTTGCTGTTTGTTGCAGAAAGTAGTTTTATAGGTTTTTTGCAATTTGAAATTATGACAAGCTCGTGACAAATTTATTTATTCACAATTAACATTTTCCAGCATAAAAACAATTACTATCAAACACCTCGTATCTAAGCGATTGCAACAATATGAGACGCACTGGTAAACACATTGTGAATCTCTTCTACAGCATTTATAGACGGAAACAAAAAAAATATAATAAATAAATCAAATATGCAATAGAATGAAAGATAAACAGTTCAATCAGAATTAATTGATACAAGGAGAGAGTTAAATTGATAGAATATATTTCTTCTGTTCACACTTAAACTTTGTGAGGAACCTAATAGATTTTATTCTGTTGGGTAGACTATTATGAATATTTATTCCACAAAAATACAATGATTTTTTCCCGAATTGGGGAACAGTTTTCAAATGTTCACTTTGTCTTTTGTGATGCTCATGGGTATCAGAATTGATATTGAAAGTAAGATTCGAGTGCTTTCTCTTATTTTTAGTGAAATGAATGAACATGCATACTTTCATTTTGAAGAGAGAGTCAATATCTAGTATCCTTTGGTTTGTATAGTCTAGATGTTGATTCCAGAAATGGTAGTTTATTAATACATTTTATGGCTTTATTTTGAAGAGATTTGAGAGGTTTCAAGAAAATGAAAACGACTTGGACTTTACTGTCTGTAGGTTAATCGAGGAGGTGGTACATTCATTTTACTTGGTTCTTTGGGATTTTCTCTCCTCGTTTCTATAAAATAAAAGTATTCGTATTATATCAATATATTTGTAGAGGGACAAATCAGATGATTTGCCCCAAAATGTCACTGCGTTTAACAAATTTTTCTATCAGGGAGTCTAAAAGAAAATGGTAGATTCAAGATCAATTAATGAAAACATCCTGTAACTCATTTGTAGACTAAAATCACTCATTCATATGCCAACATCAGTATGACACTGAAAAGTGTCAAACTATATACGCAGCACAACTTTCAAAGAAAAATAATTTGCATTTACATGTTGAGAACGGGAGCAGAATCGGGTCCCGAAACGTCCAAAGATAAGTACAAATTCGATATTTTTTCAATATATCTATATTTCTTTCCTTCAAAAATTTTTTCAAACAAATTGTCACTGACAAGCTACTGGATTTTTCTTTTAGACTCCCTGATAGAAAAATTTGTTAAACGCAGTGACATTTTGGGGCAAATCATCTGATTTGTCCCTCTACAAATATATTGATATAATACGAATACTTTTATTTTATAGAAACGAGGAGAGAAAATCCCAAAGAACCAAGTAAAATGACTTGGACTTTATCGGTCGCCATTCTGTACAGCGGAGACATAGAACTGGATATGAAAATTCATCTGAAGGAAACTTCCCCATTGGCATCGGATGACATATTTTTTATCTTGTTATCGAATCGCGAAATCGAGTGCCAATTTCCGCACAGAAAAGTGCAATTTCGCTATTCGTTTTCGACGTTTGGAATACTTCTTTGATAGGTAGAGGGTATAGTGAGGATTTTATGACAAAAAACTTCCTATCAACTGCAGTAACCAACCCGATCTACTGTTCCGGAATTTCGGCGAATTGACTTTGGAAGGACTGTACTTTAGTAAATACTCTAAACGAACAAATTCTATACCTTGAGCGTCCTCAGCAGCCGGTCCATCGTCTGCAACTTCCCGCAATCGTATTGGATGAGCCGCGGATCAGGAAACTGAGTCACCGTGGCCGAAGCCAAATGGTGCAGAGGCGTGGAAGGTTTCGAGAACAGCCGTTGGATGAGCAGTTTCTGCTCCTGCTGGCCCCAATACTTGCTGGGCGGCGGGTGCCATACGCGCAGGGCCGGCTCGCACGATTTCACGGCGGGCACGTAAAAAATGAATCTGGAATGTATCGGCACATTTGAATTCAATGAAAATGACAGCCACGGATAGAACAACGATTTTAAGGTCACTTAGATTAGGTTTTGTATTCCTATTGGTGCATTTCAAAATTGGTAGGTAGATGAAATGGAGATTGACAGATGACATGACCACACTAGCTCCAAGCCTTTCAACATACCTGCCATTAGCAGTATCGTCATAATGCTTTCCAGTCATTTCTAGAAAATGTATATCTTGCATTATATGGCTGTGGAATAATTTTTCTTTACTGAGAACGCAAAAATGAACGAGCGAATTCAAACCATCAGACATGGCAATTTGGATTGGTAATTCGCTCACCTTCTCACGGGTGCCAATAAAATGCACGATGGACTTGACAATGTTGCCAATTTGGACAGAAAGCTATAAAGTCGGATACTCATTCCTCAAATTTTTCATTTTAGCAGATAATACAGATGCTGTTAGATAATGCAACTAATAACTACTTACCTGGAAATTCCTGGTATTAAAAATTTGCATTGCAAAATTAGTTAGTTGGTTCATTTCTGTCGTAGGATTATTCGAAATTGTAAGTGAAATTTCATTTTATATTGAATTACAGTACATATATTCATGACATTCAGTTTCAGAAACCTTCCAGTAAAGTTCTTTCAAGTTTAGGTACTCACCTATTATGAACCTACCTATACCTATCTACAATAGGGAAAGGAACAAATTCTGAATCAATCAATACTAAATTGCTCAATTGTTTCTATTTTTATTGATTTTAGTACAAGCATCACTGCCATATTGTCAATAACCCGAGAACACTCGCGACTAGAAAGTTACGTTGATCCTCGCGGCTGGTCGTTTTGACCGACTATAGGAAATCCCCAAATTTGTCAGTATTTGTGGTGTTGTGTTTATCAAAGGTATTCAGCTATTGATACACTTCTTATGAAAACTCTATCGACTATGAACACAAAGTTGGTATATTTCTGAACAAAAATGAAAAGTTACGTTGATGCTCGCGGCTGGTCGTTTTGACCGACTATAGAAAATCCCAAAATTCGTCAGTATTTGTGCTGTTTATTGAAGGTATTCAGTGTCTATAAAGAGTTATCTACTATTATCTAATTGATTTTGCCACATTTACTTGATTATAACCCCCAATTTCCTTGTAGACAATGAATAATTTGGTACAAACCTCTAAATGCTCGCGCGTCGGTGGAAACGACCAATTGTCAATTTTCAGCTCCAACCAAACAACACCCTCTGACCGAAACCAAACGTGAACTGGCCCGCCGGTTCGACTTAGGAAGACTTGTGAGCGGGTCGTAAAATCCCGGCCCAAATAAATGTGGGAGGGGCAAAATTAATGCTTGGCGGCAAAACGACCGTGGTGCGAGCGTTCTCGGGATAATATTGAGAAATAAGAACAGTGAAATTATGCGGGAAATGAGGTATTTTTAACTTGGCAGCACTGTGTTGCTTCATCTCATTCTCTTGTAGACATAGTTGCCAGATTGTCAATTGAATGTATCGGGAATGAGTGCTTGAGATATAGTAACACTGTTAAATTTGTTGATTATAACAACCAGTCCACGAAATTTCAACATAACTAAAACCAAACTAAGTAAATAAAAAGCGTTTTACTGTTAGACGCATAGATCTTGAAACTTATGGAATACTTTGGAGTTCAGAGTGAATTGAATGTGATCAGCAGTGAATTACCAATCAAGAAATCTTCACACCATCTTACACATACGATCAATTCAAGGATTTTATACTAACATCACAGCTCAGTAGCGTTTTACTTCACAGATATTGAAATGGCAATTTCAATATTAAATATTTCATTTGTCGTTCGATTTTACCGATGAATATGTGGTTAGGATAATGTTTTTAACTAATTCTGTTGACACACAAGAACAAGTGAATTCAAATTGCCCTGTTCAGTTCAACCATGACATGTTAAAGTTAAAGAATCGGTCGAGACGGCAACGCTGTTCAGCTCACCTAATAGTGAGGCACATTATAGTACTTGTGACGTCAGTACCGCTGATAATTTTCCGTCGTGTTCATAAAAAAATCATAAAATTCCCTGTGTCTTTCCTCATTGTGATGAACATCATAAAATATTTCTAGAAATTAGTTTTTTGCTAATGTAGGAGACACAAACATATTGCAGATCAGCGTATACTGTTATACAGGGGGTAACTTTGATTAGGTAATAAACAATAAGTATAGTTTTTTCTCAAAGTAAAGGAAAGAAGCTCCCACAAACTTTTTCTTCAATTGCAACTAGGCAATATACCAATACCACACCACTTTTTGTTGTTTTCAGTTGATAATCTTCAGATTGAGCAGTTTGAAATTGTTGCAAGGTTCTAGATAGTTCACAACAGTGAAATTAGTGAACATGCTGGCCACTGCAATAATTATCTAGCACAGTTGCAAAAGTTCGATAGTTATGAAAACTAAGGACTGATCGACTGTGCAAATAATATTCCTGATACATAATCAACAATATATTCAAAAGGAAGTCAAATAATAGCAAAATATCAAGAAACTATTAACGAGAGATTTTGACGAAATTTAAGACCTCTCAAACGGTAAATTCTAGGTTTATGGAATATGACCAAAGTGTCTATTTTGGTATGGAAATTGAGAGATAAAATAGAATTTCCCACTGAAGAGATATCTCGACAGAATTGAAGACGAACGAGAATTGTTGTACTTGTGCCACAATTTTGAACCCCTAATTTTTTCCTATTTTTTTGTTCTCGGAAAAAAAAACAATATTTCTCTTCAGGACCTAAAATCAAAGGATTGAATTTGCAATGTTGCTCAAGTATTTTAATCGACGCTAAAACAAATGTCGAATGAACTAGCTGTGTTATACAGGGCGAGTTGAAAAAGTTGATATTTTCACTGAACACACTGTTACCTCAAATAATACCGGTCATTCGTAAAAAGCATATCGACACATATTCTACATTCTTGCTAGGAAGAAATCCTTGAAATAGTGGTCTGAAAAATGACGAGAAGTGAAGGATTGAAGTTCAAAATCATTGAGCCACAACATATTCCACAAACTAAAAAACAGTATCAGTTTTTTATTTGATCTTTACCACCCAATTGTACTTAAAACTTTTTTGTCAACAAAATTAACAATTCAAAAACTCACCTATCACATATGTCTTTGAGGGTGTCAATTCGTCTTTCTGGACTATACAACATATCACTAAGGCAGCTTGTAGTCTCAACAATCGTTTTATTATACATGGTATTGAGACAGTGAATGGTTCCTCCTTGCCAAGGGTCGACTTTGTTGGGAGAAAATATTTTCACTGCATCTTGAAAATCTCTTCCATATAATGGAAGAGCGGAACATCTACGTTTATTAATACTTGTCATCAATTGTAATCGACTTTTACGTTCTCCCTTCGGGTCATCTTCATTCTGAAATGGGAGAGATAATGAAAAAATAGAAGTGTCATAACTGGTTTCTTATTCAATATTGAGAATCTTCTCCTTGAACCTTAATGCTTTCAATTATATCTTTCCTGAAATATAAATATCAAAAAAGAGTCAGCTATGTAATTATGATGGCATCAGTTATTTTTCATTAATGTATTTCATTTAATCTATCAATAACAAAAAAATGTGCAGATAGCAGATCAAGCTTTCCTAAGTAATATTCTATATAATGCTAGACTGAAGGCGAAACAATCGATGCAAATTCAAGATGGAGAACAAGTAATGTTACTCATATAAAAGGGTGATTCAAAATGATATCAAAGATGATAAAAATCCCGCAAATTAAATTAGTTTTTGGCAGTTCTCATCTTGAAAACTCAGTTTTGTATTTCTGTCATATTTCAAGTTATTAGTTGTCGCTTTACTTCAGCTTTTTGAGTAGTGTTGAAAATGTTGCAAGGTTCTAGATAGTTCACAACAGTGAAGTTTGAGAACATGCTGGCCACTGCAATAATTATCTAGCACAGTTGCAAAAGTTCGATAGTTATAAAAACTAAGAACTGATCGACTGTGCAAATAATATCTCTGTAACATTGATAATAATATTTTTTTTGTGACGGGAAAAAAGTGAGTACATTTTTCCCGGATATATATCACATATATATACACTGTTGATGGCTTTTGTTGTGCTATAGTTCCGAAAAATCAGTCAATAATACCGTCTCCGAGAAAGAACTGCAAGTCCTTCTATCTTCCATTCGACTTAGCAGTTACATAATTATATTACTAAACAACCACTAAATTAGCAATTTTTTGAAATCAAATCACAGAATTAGACTGACAGAAGTGACATCAGATATTTGATTACCTCAAAAGAATGATAAAGATGCCTACAACGCAGGTGGCCCTACTGTTAAAAACTTAAAATTTCACGTCGATAATTTTCAGATTTCAAAATAATGTAAAATCTTCTCAATATTGATTTATCCTTTCTTCTGTCACAGAAAAAAATAGTGTATTATACACGGGAAAAATAATAGATTTTAGCTCACGGTTTTTTGTCTTCCGACGCGTAGCGGACAACACAACCTGGAGCTAAAATCTACAACTTTTTTCCCTTGTATAATAAATAACTATAAGAAAGGCTAATGAAATAACAAAATATCGAAAATCTTCGAAAAGTCAACTCAAAGTAGTGCAGTTGACATCTCTTGTTGATAAAATAATAAGTTTCCCCACTGACGAAATTGAAGATACAAGAGAATCGCTACACTCATGCCAAATTTCCGCATAGCGATGTCTGCAGTAGGTTGTAGTCCACTGCAGGTGGAAAATATCACGAACTTTTTTGGAAATATACGGGAATAACGGAAATTTGCGTTTTTTGTTGGTGTAAACTCATCTGACCGATAGGAAGCCAGGTCAAATAATCATAACGCTTTATTCTTACCTAGAAACCTAGAATATACTATAGAGATCGGAAATATCAGGAAATGTTTTTGCGATTTTCTTTGTCATCAAAAGTAGACCATGTTCAATTTCATCATGAGTTCAAGTTGTATCTCCATTATTTTTTCGATAAAAGTTCTGGCTTATGATTATGTTAAGGCTCAATATTCCCGGTGGTTCCATATAAAAGAAAGGATCTTTTGTACTTACCGATAAACTAGCAGCATTATCATCATTCTGCCATCGCACATCCAAACTGTTTTGTTTAGAATAAAGTCTACCTATATAATCGTTGCCGATTTGCGTCCGCATTTTATCGTCGTTTTTCACCATCGATACTCCACTGGAATTCTACAAAAATACACCAATGTATTCGACAAATTCATTTGTTGATCCAGAGAATCTATACATACAGTTGTTACAGTTGATAAAGTAGTACCAGTTGTAACAGACGTGATTTGGAATTTGACGAATGCTTTCGTCACTGCATGACCTGTATTGCCGATGGTCGAGACTGGTTGTTTTGATAAAAAAGTCAGTTTCTGTCCACCTTCAAACAAAAAAAAAAAAGGTGAATGCGGGAATCTTTCAAGGATGATCTCTGAAAAGTTGGTAGAAAATGATACCGCGAATTCCTGAGAGCGGAATAAGGTTATGAACAGAGCGTCAATGAAAGCAATGGTTCAAATTATTGTTCACTCCATTAGCTTCTCGCGACTGTCAGCGAAGTAATATGATTTTTAGTTTTGAAATATTTACATTCAAGAAGGTCTTGAACATTATGTAAGAGAACTAACATATATTTCACCTCAAATAAATAATTAACATGATATCGATAGACTAGCTGATATACTGCACAGCATGTCAGGTTAGGTTAGGTATTTTGTCAGAATATCATCATGATGACATGACTGACTAGTGCAACATGCGCCTACCATTTGAAAATAGAAAGTTTATGTCTTTCTAGGAAAACCGGAAGATGAAAATAATTTCCTAAAATGTGGAAAGTGCCCTTGAGGGTAATCGATATTTATCAATAGTACCTTTTTTGTAGTGAACAAGTAATGCAATCCAAGTTACATATTCAAACCAATTTCTTTCGATTTGCGTAGCAGTTATAGATGTTTATTTACTGAGAAAAACAAGTTCTACGCCCGAATAATATTTATCATTACCATGATAAGGATTTTATTGTCCAATGAAGCTATGCCAAAGTATCAAATTTGAGTAAAATCTCATGAGCCGTTTCAAAGTTATGAAGCAAGAACATTTTGAAAATTGTAACTCCAGAGCCGTCTAGCATCCAAAGTAAGCAACTTTGTACTGAGTCTTTGTAAAGAACTTTCAGGGACAACCTGTATATAAAAAAAACAGAACTTTCTTTGTGTATGTCCTTGGACAGATTCACAGATCTAGTAATACAGGGTGAGTACAAAGTGAGGTCATGCTTGAGGAAATTGAAAAAGGCATCTGGATACTGACATACTGAAAATAGTTCTATCGATTTTGAAGTATAAAGTAGACATGTTTTTGTTGCCTAGTAATCTCAGTGGACCAACAAAAATTTGCAACATTTTCATTAAAAGTGAACTTTGTTTCCATCGTCTTATTTTGGTCTCAGAAATCCGTGTTATCATTTTGTACAGACATTATAGAGATTATTGAGAGGTCAGAAAAGTTAAACAATAGTATCATTAATGGCATCATTACCTGACGTTGATGTTACAGGTATATTTGCCGTTATATTGGGATTAGAAGTCAACAGCAAATGTTTGCCCGTTGATGTCTGCACCAATTGGGCAAAACTGGCAGAAATTTTGTCTGCCGGTTTCAGTAATGACGTCACATTCACTGGATTTCCTATTTGCCCAGTGGCCCCTTGTGATATATTAACAACTGGTATGGCTGAAAGAAGAATATCATTTGATAAAATAGATAAAAATGAAGTGAAACGTCAACAACATCAAGTTATAAAAAATCAGGAAGGTGAGAGATGAAAAATGTACAGGGTATCCCAATTTGGGCACTTTTGCGGGGTATCTCCCCTATCAGTAAAGATAAAGCATTGCGGTTTTCGCGACAGTGTGCTACTTTTTTATAAAATTAATAATGGCGCAAGCAGAATTGTGATAGCTCTTCCGGTTGTCGAGATACAGGGTGGAATTGAAAAATATCACCCCCCGTGTCTCAGTTATCTTTGAACTTATCGAAGAAGTTAAAACTTGATTTTATAGAGTTTTTCTCGTAGAATCCAGTGGCGTAGTTATTTTTTTGCTAGCACCTTTTGTTTTTTAGTTATGGAGCAAACATATGTTTTTTCAAATGGAAAATAATTGTATACAATTATATATTTTTGGAAAGCCCACTTCATGCTCAATGTATATATGAAATAATATACAGGGTGTTCCATTTAAAAAAACATATGTTTGCTCCATAACTAAAAAACAAAAGGTGCTAGCAAAAAAATAACTACGCCACTGGATTCTACGAGAAAAACTCTATAAAAACAAGTTTTAACTTCTTCGATAAATTCAAAGATAACTGAGACACGGAGGGTGCTTGAAAAGTGATATTTTTCAATTCCACCCTGTATCTCGACAACCGGAAGAGCTATCACAATTCTGCTCGCGCCATTATTAATTTCATAAAAAAGTAGCACACTGTCGCGAAAACCGCAATGCTCTATCTTTACTGATAAGGGAGATACCCCGCAAAAGTGCCCAAATTGGGATACCCTGTACAGTAAATATTCGAATATTCATTTTCCCAATGAATATGAATTAACAAATAATTAAACCGAGATATACGGAAATATGTGAAATTGATCAAGTGCTAAGCGTTTTTTGTTACATAAGGGATTGATGTAATTAGTAGCTTGCATTGTCTTACATAAATTGACATTTATAGTGCTTCAAGAATGGAGAGATTGTCATATTTTAAAATATTGTATGTAACAAGCATTCAAATCAATCATTGCATAGACTGATCTGCTTGGTAATGTCACAATTTGATCTACTTTCGAATGAATTGTTGATACAGAAGAACGTATGTACCCACATTTTACAGAAAGATCCATACACCAACATTATTTTATCTGAAGTTCATAAAAATGGTGTTTACTGATAATATATTAGGGAAAAAAATATTTCATTTACTTCTGAGAATTTGGAGCATTTCTTCTTTTATCTGAAATAATTTTGAAGTCAACTGTCCAAATAAAAATTGAATAGTATTTAAAATCAGGCGTGTACAAACTTTTGAAATATAATGTACCTTTAATAACAATATTCATTAATAAATCGGTAGCAATTTAGGAATTGTATTCATTATAGTCCAAGAGCCGGCAACAACTTTTGACAGACATCTGAAAACGAAATGATGTACCAAAGGCAGGTTAAAACATTGTATTTCAACGAACTGCACCTTTGCCTATCACTATCCGGAGCAAAATGATGCTGTCGTCCTTCCAGACGAACTTCCGTCATGTGATAAAGGATTTAAACAAAAAAGCAAATATCTAAACGTGCCGCGATTCAAACTGAACTAAGTTAGGGGTAGAGCGTCAATATTTCCACAAGAATATTTCGATCCTGTCGAGAGATAACATCCGATGTACCAGTGTAAAACTCAACATGTGGATTAGAATACGTGTAGTGCGAGCACCACATGAGTTTTACACTGGTCCATCGGAGATTATCTTTCGACGAGGGCGAAATATTCTCCGGGATATTGACGCTTTGCCACTAAATTAGCTCTGTTTGAATCGCGGCACGTTTGGATATTCGCAAAGGGACATTAACTCTTTTCATTTGCTTTTTGTTTCAACTTGTTATCACATGAAGGAAGTCTGGAAAACAACAGCAAATAAATCGCTGTTCTGTGGATTTCGCTAAGATTTAGGGGTGGCACAGGTATCTTCTTGAGATCTACCATTCAATTGGTATCGGATGGCAAAATTCTTATCTCGCGAAATTGAGTACAAATTACCGCACAGGAAAATATCATTTTTCAATAAGTTTAGTCAGGATGCCTTTGGAACATATGACATTCTGTTATCAGATGACGGTCTAAATTTGCAGCCGGCTCTCCTAATATTATTCCAGATTTTTCGGGATGGTGTCTAGTTGTTTCTATGAAATAAAAATATGAGTATTATTTCAGTATACGTTATTATTATTATAACTGGTTATCTTGTCCCAAGGTATGAATATATTGGTCAGACAAGTAGTCCGCTTAAACACCACTTTAACGAACACCAGGTAAGTTTTTCATAAAAGAAAAGAAATTCAATATTCAACATATCAATTTCGAAATTTCACACATAATATACAAAATGATAAAATAGAAGTCAATCGTTCAGAATCACTCAAACAGTCTATTTATCTATTATATCAATCGACTAGACCTCAACAATTCACCGCTTTTGAATGAGATATTCATATTATTTTTCAATATTCTAACCAAAAAGACTTAGATGGTCTATGAATGCTGATCCAACTCACGCCACACAAAAATCCGGACTATGTGTATTTTTATTTTAAAACAGATAGCATTTTCGATTTTTTTTTTCATTTCACATAATCAGATCTACAAAACAGATAGCTTGTACAGGATCCCATAATCCATTGATGTATCATACTGTTTTTAAACGTAATACATTGACTTAATAATAAGCACATAAAAAAATATGTCAGGAAATAATACACATAAAATGGCCGATGGTCTGGCCAGAAAGGGGGCGAAAGGTTCAGTGATTGGCCCAGAGCCAATCTTAGGGGTCACTCGATCCTGGAGCAACTTCAGGATGAAGGAAATTCTGACGAAAAGGTTTCTGGAGAGAGGCTCCTGGAATGAGGCAGTCCAAACTCCATACAGGAAACCCGTCACGAAGACAGACCAATGCCCTCTTGGCTTTGAACAGGAAGGAGCTGAAACTGGTGGTGGGCCTTCTGAAAGGGCACTGCCACTTGAACAAGCATCTCAGCATGATCGGGATTGTGGAGGATCCTGAATGCAGATGGTGCCTAGAGGATGAAGAGACTTCTACTCACATCCTCACTGAATGCCCGGCAGAAGTGGCAGCAAGGGATATCCATTTTGGGGGCAGCAACCTGGACCCAGAGGATTTGACCTAAAAAGTTGGTCTCTTTTGTTCGCGAGATCGGCCTTCTCCATGGCTGACTTGCGATCCCAGGAATGTGGGTGCACAATGGGCCCGAAAAGGGAGGCCTTGGGCCCGAAAAGGGAGGCCTAAGTGCGTCGTGCGTCAGGTCTCGGACCGCCCACACACATACATACATAGATACAATACACATAAAACACATCCCTATTACGAAACAATTGTCAAATCAGGTCAAATCAAATTATTTCATGTCTCAATTACCAGTACAAGGAGTTTCATAAAACTTCTTGTACAAACTTTCGAAACAATAGAAAACAAGAGGAATAAAACCATCATCAATCAACTCACTCTTCAGTATCCCCTGCTGATTCAACACCTGCATGCCGGCCACCTTCACCTTCACGTTCTGCGGCGCCAGCCCCTTGAACTGCAACGGCGGCGGCGGCTGCCCCACCCCCACCACCGCCCCCTCCTTCCTCTCCGCCCTGCCACGCCCACCAGCCAGAACGGGAGGAGTCTTGCCGGGTAGCACGCGCATCGCCAGCTTGCACGGCGGGCAGGCGGGGCGGTCGGGCGGGCCCAGTTCGACGATGCGCCTCGAGTGCCTCGATTGCCGCATGCGGTAGCACTGGTACGAGCCGAAGTGGATTTCTTGCATGATGAGGAGGAGGTTGAGGGCTTCCAAGTTGACGTGCTGAAATGGAACATCGTCGTTCTAAATGAAAACCTGTGATGGTTTTGTTTCAGATAATCCGCCGATTCGCCTTTTGACCAGGGAAGGAGACACATGGCGTCTCAAGGTCAAAAGTCAGGTTAATGTGTGTGCAAGTCTAAAATTTTTCTAATTACCTGATCTGGATTAAAATCCAATATTTATAGTGAAGTTTAATAAGTGTGTGTCAAAAATATCAGGCCCTTTTATCTCTACGCCGGTATAGAGGCCGGATGATGACGGATTCATCGGGTAAAGGGGCCATACTTGAAATCAAACGTGCTCCAGTAGGAGCACATACGATAGATTATTGAACTTCGATGAACTCGGCTTCCGGGCATGATGACGGACTACGGTGTCTTTAGTGCTCGAGTCAAGAGATAATATTATTACATAACCATATATATAATTCTTGAGCAAAAGTATTTACCTGATCTGGAGAAATTGCTACCGAAAGAAGAAGAAGAATAAGAAGAGAAATAATCCACCATAATGATTGGGCGGAGTGCGCATGTACTAGTTTTATTATTTCGCGAGTTCCGGTACCGTACGCAAGTGAGTCACTGAGTCAGTCGCAGTCGTTGATAGGGGTCAGAAGGTAGTCCTTTACCCATTTTCCTCGAAGTTGAGCACAAAAACCAGGTCAACAATATGTTAACCAGTCAATTTTCCTTGAAGTGTATTCCAAACTATGACGTAATAGTTAACCAACCACACAAACCAGCTCACTGAAGTAGTTCTTGGAGTAGTTAAGGCATTGGAACAAAATTTTGAATATGCTGACAATCGTGACAAATATGTCAAGATCAAGATGTTTCCACACGGATTATTTGTTGCGCCCTGTCTCTTCTGCGTCATGTCTTTGTATGACTCTTATCAGCTATTATTGAATTCGTGCATCATCAATGGGCCTCTTCAGGTCCCGAAAGAAGGAAAACACATCATTGAAAGTCTAGTTCAACTTAATAATAAGATTCGAAACAGATTTTGAATTTTTTCAAGGAATTGTCCATCGATCACGCCATCTATCATCGAATATAAGAACCTCACGTTCCAAACTCGCCTTCAATTGTTTATTTCGAGAGCTAGTCTGATGAAATAATTCAAGAGTGAGAACACAGGAATTATAAACATCTCAATAATGAGCATATCAAACTTCGACATCATGAACTGAGACATAAGTTAACATTTTTGGTGCTTGAAGGATGGTCAAAATTGCATATTTTGAAATACTGTATGTAACAAGCATTCAAATCAATCATTGCATAAATTGATCTGCTTGGTAATGTCACAATTCAATCTACTTTCAACTTAATTGTTGATACAGAAGAACTAATGTACCCACATTTATAGAAAGATCTGTACACTTACATTATTTTATCTGATGTTCATAAAAATGGTGTATTTGAAATTTGATTACATTTATAGTGGCAAAGTGTGAACGAAATTATTTATGCATGCTTGATGAAATGGCTAATCAAGATTTCAATAATATCTAGAATACCTCCATCACTCAAAGTTGAATCTTGATATGAATAAAATGATAATAATAGATAACTTTGAGGGATATTTAATTTTTTTTTGAAGAAATTATTGAATTAGACCAGGCAACCGCGCCCAAAACCAGTTTTACACCAAACCATGCTGCTAGCTGCGAATTTATTGATGTGATGTATTCATTTATCATTGTTAATGTTTGTTTTTATTTCTTCTCATTTCACGGTCTAGTATTATATATGCGCTGTTTTTGTTGTATTCACACTTGTTGATTGTGATCTAGTTGCTGTGATTCAAGTTAAAATTTATCTCTATTCGCATAACCATACGCCACCTATCGGAGTTTTTGAAAGCTGTCAAAGCGGCCTATTTATTTTGTTTTCATTGGTTCACATTTTTTGTTGTTTGTGCTCATTGGTCACATCATCAAAACAAACCGCTCAGAAGTGTTATTTTTTATCGCGTATAGACTAATTAGTTGGTCAGAACTGTAATATTTTCTGATATCACTGATGGTATGCAATAAGCTCTGATTTGATTTTCATTATTTTTAGGATATTCTCGTAATAATCATAAGTAAGCCTTCTAAAAAAGTGGAACGTTTTCCGTTCGGGCTTGTTAGGAGATTTGTATCTCACATCCAAAGTTTACACTAGATTAACCATTCAAGTCATCGTTTTCCGCCAAATTATTTCTCAAAAATACCTCATTACGCGTCATTGTCTGTCCAGAAAAATAGTGAAATTTGAAGAGAAATACATTCGTGAATTTAAAAAATATATAAAAATTGGCTAAAATTGATGATTCTGCTTCTAATGGCACTGAAGATTGAAGACCTGTGATGCAAGAAACTGAGAAAATTGTTTGGAAAATGTATGTGACAAGCAAATTAGAATAATTCTGAAATGTCAAAAGATATTTCAAAAAATCTACAAGATGATTCAAATTATGATTTTTTCCAATGCACTCAAATAAACTATGACAAAACCAATGATGATTCAACCAACAAGTTGATCAGTTCAGATTTTGATCATGAGTCAAGTAAACTTATGAAAAGCCAAGTAAGTAGTGATATATTTTTTTTTAAAAGAGAAAATGAACTCCTAATAGAACTATTGAGGGCGAAAGATGACATAATTCTGAAAAATGAAAGAATAATCACCACTCTCACCAATCAAGTGGCTTTCTTATCAACAGAGTACAACAATATGATAACAGAGAGAAATGAAAAACAAGATATGGTATTAGAATTGAAAAATTTGAATTCCAAAATGGATAACTTCACTCTTTAATCAAATGCAACAGGAAACATTGAAATGAAATCATATGCTGATATAGTGAAGAAGGATATCAACAAAAAAGATGTTCCTCGCAATTTCCCTTCTTTGATAATAAAACCGAAGTCTCTGCAAACTAATGAAAAAACCAAAGAAGATATTCGAAACAAAATAAATCCAATACTGGCCAAAGCAAGTATCACTGGAATTCAAGACATTGGAAAAGGAGGTGTTTTATTAAAGTCAAGCTCTGAAGAAGAGATCAAACGATTAGAAGACATCGCTCAGAAAAATATTGGCACCAACTACATAGTCAAAACCTCTAAACTCAAATCCCCAAGGATTGTTCTGATTGGAAAGAATTTTACATCTACGACAGAAATACAGGATGAGCTACGTATTTTCAATTACATTGATGAAGATGATACATTAACTTTTAAATATTCCAGACAATCAAAATATTCGAACAAAGGACCCCGCACTTTTAGTACATAAAATGGTTCTCGGTGAAATTCTCTGAATTTTCAGTATGTTGTAGAGTTTGATGAACTGATTGAACCTGCAGAATCGTAAAGTTCTTTGATGAACAGATTCTGAGATACAGGGTGTTGAAGTTACAAATCGGTATTTTTCATTTAATTATTTTCTCGAAATTCAAAGATGCCAAGTACAATTTTCTTCGCTTATATCATTAACGAACCTCCATATTACTCAACATAATTCAGATGGTTCAGATGATGTAATTGTTTACAGAGTGAAACATATAAACATTTCAGTGATGTCTGAAAATTCGATGTAATAATGAAATATCGAAAAAATAATTCAGGCATGCAATATACTATTCTCATTCCATCATGAATCACAATTCATACATTTCATACAGGGTGATTTGAAAAATTGGTGACACCTAAGACCGATTTATTCATACACATCCTGTATATTCGAGTGAATTGTTAACCTCCCAAGATAGCTGATACCGTATGAACATGATTTCGTTGAGATATATAGGGTGATCATGAAGATTTTCGATGATGAAAATGACAAAAAATCGTGTTTTTTGAAATCACCCTGTTATTCATGATTAACTCGGTGAAATTCCCTAATTATTTTTTAATATATTCATCATTCGCTCCTCAACGCTGTCTTGAAAATTCAGTTCCCTATCATGACGGGTGTCATAGTTATTAATTCAGGAACTTACCATTTGCATGAAGAGTTGAAGAGACTTGGTCACTTACATTCGCATAGTGGCCGATATTTTTCACAAATAGTGGAACGTGAGAATGTGGAGACGAAAATAAGTTGAGGATTCATATACAGGGTGAACATTAAAAATTCAATAACAATAGCAGATATATGGATTTAATAATATTAATATAATGTACAGATAGTTAGGCGAATTACGTTGGTAATATGAAAATGATGGAAACGCCTGATTCTGAGTGGAAAACAAATGTGAAAAAATCTGTCGATTCCAGGATTCAACTCTCCCTATTAGGAATGGAAGCGTGAAAGACCGAATCATTCTCCCATCTCCTAGATATTGTTCGTTTTTCATTTTGGCAGAGCTTGTATACCAACGAAATTCGCCTAACTATCTGTACATTATATTAATATTATTAAATTTATATATCTGCTATTGTTATTGAATTTCTAATGTTCACAATGTATATGAATTCTAAACCTAATTTTGTCTCCACATTCTCTCGTTTCACTATTTGTGAAAAATATCGGCCACTATGCGAATGTAAGTGAACAAGTCTCTTCAACTCTTCATGCAAATGGTAAGTTCCTGAATTAATAACTATGACACCCGTCATGATAGGAAACTGAATTTTCAAGACAGCGTTAAGGAGCGAATGATGAATATATTAAAAAATAATTAGGGAATTTCACCGAGTTAATCATGAATAACAGGGTGATTTCAAAAAACACGATTTTTTGTCATTTTCATCATCGAAAATCTTCATGATCACCCTATTTATCTCAACGAAATCATGTTCATACGGTATCAGCTATCTTGGGAGGTTAACAATTCACTCGAATATACAGGATGTGTATGAATAAATCGGTCTTAGGTGTCACCAATTTTTCAAATCACCCTGTATGAAATGTATGAATTGTGATTCAAGATGGAATGAGAATAGTATATTGCATGCCTGAATTATTTTTTCGATATTTCATTATTACATCGAATTTTCAGACATCACTGAAATGTTTATATGTTTCACTCTGTAAACAATTACATCATCTGAACCATCTGAATTATGTTGAGTAATATGGATGTTGGTTAATGATATGAGCGAAGAAAATTGTACTTGGCATCTTTGAATTTCGAGAAAATAATTAAATGAAAAATAACGATTTGTAACTTCAACGCCCTGTATCTCAGAATCTGTTCATCGAAGAACTTTACGATTCTGCAGGTTCAATCAGTTCATCGAATTCTACAACATACTGAAAATTCAGAAAATTTCACCGAGAACCATTTTACGTACTAAAAGTGCGGGGTCCTTTATCATTTATTTAGAAACTGTTGGTAAGACTTATCATAAATTGGTGAACAAAGAAATTATTTTGGGGTGGCATAAATTCAAAATTAGAGAGGATTTCAATATAATATCCTGCTCAAAGTGTAATGCTTATGGTCATATCTATAAGGATTGTAGGAATTCTGTATCATGTTCAATTTGTGCTGGCGATCACCAAAGTAATCAATGCAGTAATAAAAATAATCCGAGTTGTATTAATTGCAAAATAGCAATTGAAAAGTTCAACCGAAATGGTAATCATGACCACAATGCGAATAGTGAAGATTGTCCTATTTTCAAAAACAAAATTATTTTAGCTAAAAATCGTATAAACTATGAATAACATCAATGTGGTAAATTTCACAAAGCTGAACAATTTCAATATACTCTACTTGAATATAAGGAGTTTAGCTAATAAAATCAATGAAATAGAGGTTATATTGAAACGATACAAACACGCACATTTATTAGTTCTTACAGAGACCTGGTTGAAAACTAATGAAACTGAATATTTCAATATTGCAAATTTCTCAAGTATTCATAATTGTCGGGATGATAGACAGGGAGGGGGAGTAGCAATTTACTTACGGGATGGATTAATTTTTCAGAAAATTTATAAAAATGTGAACAAAGAATACAATACAATAGAAATAGAGATTTCTCAGTTTCAATCTAAATTAAAAATTATTGCTTTATATAGACCTCCTAATTCCAATATGAATGATTTTTTACAATACATAGATGGGACTATGGAGCAAAATAATAAACTCATAATAATAGGAGACATAAATATAAATTTGTTGATGAACAATAATGATGTTATGAATTACACAAATTTAGTAGAAAGCAATGGTTTTCGAATTGTGAACGAAATTGATTTAACCAATTATACTAGAAATCAGAGTGACTCTTTCAGTATTCTGGATCATATATTGACAAATTGCCACAATTTCAATTTCAAAATATCTATGGAAAATACTTCAATTTCTGATCACAGAATTATGTATACTACCATAAAAAAATCCAACACTCAATTAAAACAATTTAAAAAACGTGAAATAGTCAAAATTGATTATACTAAATTCAAACAAGTATTTTCTGAAAAATTAATGCAAACACAATGTGAAGTATTTCAGGACATAATAGACATTATTGTGGAATCTAAAAGACAATGTTCATCAAAGATATATTTGAGATCACGTGAAGATAACGATTGGATCAATGACACAATTATTCAAGAAATAAAAATTAGAAATTCCAAATTTGATAGACATAAACAAAATGTTGGTAATCAAGAGCTTTTCAATGAATACAAAATACAGAGGAATAAAGTTAATGCTCTGATAAAAAGGGCGAAAGCTCAACATATAAATAGAAAATTTGAGAATTCTGAAGGTAATCAAAGAAAACTTTGGGATACGATAAACTATTGTTTGAGAGGTTCCACAAAATCAAACAGATATAGTGATATTGAATCGATAAAAATTAATGGTAACATTGTCAATGATGATCTAGAAATAGCCAAAATTATGAATTATCATTTTTCGAGTATTGGTAAGAATATAGCAAAGGAAATAATATCGTATTATAATAATCTTCCACGTCAAAATGTCTGGCCACAAAATAATGATTCCACAATGCTTCTGTTTCCCACTGATGAAAGCGAAATCATTTCTATTATTCATGATTTAAAAAAGACATGCCCTGATCCAGAAGGTTTGATTACATATTTGAATTGGGACACATTTTAGCTACACCAATATCAAAATTGATCAATGAATCTTTCATGAAAGAAAGTTTCCCACACGAATTAAAACATGCATCAGTGAGAGCTATTTACAAAAATGGAAATGCTCAGGATCCAACTAACTATAGACCAATAGCTCTAATAAGCATATTTTCTAAAATTCTTGAAAAATTTCTTAAGAAACGTATTGTAGAATTCATCAACAAAAAATATAGCTTTGATTCTAATCAATTTGGTTTTCAAGAAAACAGTGGAACACAAGCAGCAGTACTACAAGTGATAGATTCAATCCAGAGAGGACTTGATTCAGGAAATTATGTGGTAGCTGTTTTCATTGATCTCAAAAAGGCTTCCGACACAGTTGATCATAAAACACTTTTAGAAAACTTAGAAACAATGGGACTCAGAGGCACTGTGAGAAATATTTTGAATTCATATCTTGAAAATAGGACAATCAATACAAAATCAAACAACTCTGTGTCAAATAAACTATTAATCAATAAGGGTGTCCCACAAGGCTCTGTTTAAGGACCTATACTATATTTACTTTATGTTCAAAATATCAGTGAAATTGGTCTAGCGTGTGAATATACCATGTATGCAGATGATACAGTACTTTTATATGAAGGCAAGAATCCTTCAGATTTAGAAAATATGATAAATGAAGACTTGAAAATATTTGAAAAATGGCTCCAATCTAACCTTTTATCGATAAATACTAACAAAACAGAATATATGATTTTTCACCAAAAAAATAAACAAAAAATTCACGTCAACCTCAAAATAAAAAATGAACTCTTGAAACAAACTGACCAGATAAAATATCTTGGTATTTGGTTTGATGACAGGTTGAAGTGGGACAAACATATTGATGTTCTGACAAAAAAAATATCTCCAATTATTGGTGCATTGAGAAGATGTCCCAAACTTGATATTGAAATTGCAAACATGATTCTCTACTCTCATATACTGAGTCGTATCAACTATTTAATAAATGTTTGGGGATCTTGTTCAAAAAATAATTTCAATAAAATATCAACATTATATAGAAAATCGTTAAAAGTATTGTATCGTCTCCCATTTGATACACCAACCAATCAATTGTATGAAATAACAAATACGTATTCTTTAGATGAAATATATAGAATTGAAACTCTCAAAATATCATATAATATCATAAATAAAAAATTGAAGTCCAATATTATTTTGATACGGAATTCTGAAATTCATAATCATGAAACTAGACAATATAACTTGTTCCATCTTGACGCCGCTAGCTCCCTAATCGGACAAAAAAGATTCACTCATTCAGCCTTAACTGAATTCAATAAACTACCTGATAATATAAAAAATTGCAGAAATATAGGTATATTCAAAAATGAAGTAAAAAAACTGATTATTTCTCAGCGGACTGGATAAAATTAATCATGCCATTTTTTTTTTTTTTTTTTTTTTTTTTTTTTTATTTACAAATATTATTCTTTGTTTGCCAATTTGCAGTTGTTGATATATTTTGAATGATGATATGTTTACCTATAGGTATGTAATTATGTACTTCCTTATACCAGAGCCTATTCTGTCTGGAAGTTATTTGTTCAATAAATAAAATAAATAAATAAATAAATAAATTGTTCTAGTTCAAAAACATAAATGATCTGAATCATTAGGCGAAACATGCTAAGGAGTACGCCCTCTGTCGTCCTGAATATAACTAACGTATGGGCCATGTAATACTTTGTCTAACTTTGTTCAAATTAGTTTACATGTGTTCCATTTGAGAAGTTATTGAATAAATTTGTTTGAAAATATTCAACACGCTGAAAATATAGCATAATACCGCCTGTAAACAAATATAAACAATCCAGGAATGGCCCATAGACTAGTACCAGTTTCCCCGTTCTGGCGCTGCGATCTTAATCTCAGTCGCCTATTGCAGAAACAATATTGAAATTAATTTGATGAAAGTGCATCTGAAGGAAACTTCCCCATTGTGTGTTACCCTTTCGGGATCATATTCCAAAGCCAGGTACAGGACCAGTAGAAACACATGTTTTTAATCTAGCTATGAAAATTGTGCGTTACCTTATCGGGATCATAATCCAAAGCTGAGTACACGATGGAAGGTACGTGCAAAGTGATGCCTTCGCATTGAAACGGCGATATCGTCGGTCTGACTTCGAACAAATTCGGATGGTTGCACACTTTCCTCAGCTGCATCAGCACGTTAATAACGCTCAGCATGTTTCCACTCACAAGGGTTTCTCGCGTCCTGCAAATAAACAATGATACAAATGATTGTCAAAAGTGGAATGACGATGGAGAAACCTCACTTTGCTCGTGACATGTAATCGTCGTACAAGTATCTCTGTCTCTTTGACAGTCGACACACTACCACGTGCTCATATTTTTTCGGCATTTGCTTTTCCACTTCGGATTTCAGCCTTCTCAGCAGGAACGGTCTCAGTACCTACGAAAAAAATCCAATTGGATAAAAGAAATTCGTCCATCTGGGGGTAATAATTTATTGCAAGGTCAATCAGACAAATGCCTCGGTAATATCATTACCAGGGTTGGGTTGAATGGATCCCGCGCCATCAAAAATGGTATTAGTTTCATCACAAAATAATTTTATATTGCAGAATTGTTAAGACATTGTGTCTTATCAAATGATTAAGCAATGTACCATCATTCACAGTATTATTCCTCGAAGTTTCCATAAGAAAACAAACCCTAACCTATTTCCACATGACTGATGATTAATCATTTATCAATAGACAAACAGGTCCCTTTTCACTGAAAAACTAGTCCATTCAAAAATGAAATTCGGGTAAAAGGTAGTACAAATCATTAACCATGAAAACATCCACTATGAAATGAAATCAATTCAGGACAGGTATCAATGTGATAACTTTTGAAAATAGCAAAACTCACACAACTCACTTTTCTTTGGTTCAGTACTTTTTGAACAATATCCTTCTCAGGGTGTTGAAAAAATTCACTCAATAGCTAGATAAAATGAAAGGGAACAATGCCCTCTTTTCTCAATGGCCACCACCCTATAATTGTTTCAATTTAAATTTAGCAACAAACTTAATTTTCGTTAAATACCAAGGCGCCAGTGATCTATCAAAATTGTATAGGAAAATAAGATAATGTGTATTCTTGATGAAATTTCAAACCAAGTTGTGCAATTATCTAAAGTAAGCCAAAAACTAGAACGTGAGACATGTACACCAAACTTTCACGAAAATATATTTTGTGAAATGCATCATGAAAAGTTTTCCAATTGTGTTCAAATTGAAAGGAGTCACATCCCAATAATTCATTGATATTCAAATTTACCTTGTGTAATCTTTTGATGATATTTTCATTGTATTCCGAGTTTCCCTCAATCATCCCTGTCACGGGATTGGAGAACCATTCCTTGAACTCTCGATGCGACTGAAATACGTTGGGCATCAGAAAGTGCATCAAGGACCACAGTTCCATCAAATTATTTTGCAGCGGAGTACCGGTTAGTAATAATCGCCTGAAAATTGAAAAATGCACACTGAATAAAAACATAAATATGGAAGAACAAAAATCTCTGTACTCTTCACCCCAAATACGAATTTCTCCAACATGACGTGTAACAAATTCAAGGGAAATAAGGAATTATAAATACTCAAGACACTGCTTTTCCAAATTGATTCCAAATTTTGAATAATCATAATTATAACAAAACAAAATCAATGACTCCTAGTATATCTCACCTAAAAAATTACTGGGCGACCAAGAATATTAAAATGTGTTAAAATGTACTTCAAGTATATAAATATAAACGAAAGCAAACTTGAAATGAATTTTCAGAAATATTTGCTTAGCTCAATTCCCTACCAATTTATTCATTCAATGAATGTTCATTTTTTTGAAACATGATTGAACAAGTAAAAAACGTTTCTTGGGTTAATGAAGACATCTAATCAAAACATGATTGAAGCTATGGTTCAACTGATATTTCTGAGAACACTAAGTTAATTACTCCCAATAGCATGATCAAAAACTTTGGATTCCAAAGTACTTGATGTGACCACAGTACATTGATGAATAATACAAATATTCGTAAAATGTTTCATGAAGAAAAAAATGCTTTTAAATTTATAAAAGTTTCGTTACCTTTTTATTTGACCCTGACTGCGGAAATATATCTCATTCTTCTATTTCTTTTGCAGTGATTATCTGTTATTCCAAGCCTACAAAATAATAATCAGTTAATAATTTGTACTGCTAATGACCCGCAAAATCTGGTCATGATTTTTTCAAATAAAATATGGTTCATAGAAAATGATTGCGGGATTCTGGTGAGAATATGGTGGGAAAAAATCCGTTAAAAATTTCAACATATTGAGTATCAATATCTCACAAAATTCTTAAACCTACGGTATAGTTTGCTAAAACAGTAGCATAAGTGAAATACTGGTACAATAGATAGAATAAACCAAATGGTTTATCAATTAGAAGGTTATATTAATGATATATCAAAACAAATCACTATTTCTGTTGAGTAATTTGTATTATTCATCAATGTACTTCCAAGATTTTTCCATAGTTATCCTTGAGTCTGTAGAAACATTCAGCAGTATTGTTAATAATAGAAAATCCCATCAGGTTTTCAAATAAACAATGAGACATAGATATGATTAAAATTGTATAAAGACAATCAGAAAATGAATGCTTACAGAACGAACCGGAGTGAAATCTCACCATCCGGCGTTCGCTAGATGATACATGAACAAAATAGTAGTATTTTTGGTAGTTGTTCATCTAAGAAGTCTGGGGAAAAATATGTGAATCCGAATTCGCCAAAAAAGAAAACAAGAACAAATGAGTTTTGAAATGTCTTGCTCAAGATGTTTATAATTCCTCTGGTGTGCCCACACTTCAATTGTTTCGTCAGACTATCTCTCGATAAGTTGAGCTATACTTTCAATGATGTTTTCCTTCTTCCGAGACCTGAGGAGTCCCGTTGATGATGTACAAATTCAATAATGGCTGATAAGAAGCATCTAGAGACAGGACGCAGAAGACACCGTTCCAATTTACATGAAAAATTGTGAAAATGTGAACTCAAATGTATGAGTCATGATGCCTGTAAATTTGGTTTGAAACTTCGGAAATTTAGCAAGATTCTACCACGCCTCGCTATTTTTACAAAGTAGGCGTTATCGATAGGTTTCGAAACTCCTTTCTATAGGAAGTGATAACACCATAAGACTTTCTATACATCTATGTGTTGCTCATTTCATCCATGGCATTGTTGTATTAAAATTAAACGCCCAAACCTCTTTCAATGGAAGAATCATGATTTACATTTAGTGTAAAATCAATATTATAAGTTGAAGTTGAAGGCAATCGAATCTAGAGCGTTTTGAAATCAGCATATTCTATTAGATATTTCAAAAAGCCAGATTAGACCTGGACTGTAGCTATATCTCTCTGATACCTTCCCATTCTGCAGTGTTGCAGTGTAATTGGTCAGCTCAAGGACCATAGACAGTTGGGACTAATACGTCACACCAGTCACACCAATGAATTGGAAACATTTCCAATTATTTTCAATTTCAATTCATTATTTTATCGTCCTAGTATGAATTCAATTACATTTACTGGTAGGTTTCTGGTATAGAGCTCATGATGATGTCGGTTTAACAGATCAGTAGTCTTCCCCATTAGTTAAATTAAATCAACAACCGTCGCGTTATAGTTCTTGAGACGTCAGTTTCGCTGGCTAATTCCATCTTGTTCAAACAACAGCACCTCTTTAGGAATTTTTTTTGGGAAAACTACTAGGAATGAAATATTCAACAAACCTTCTGTGTCTTTTCATATCCTGCCGAACGTCATGCTTTTTTTTCTAGAAATAAGTGTTCTCCCTTATTGCACATCCTCAATCAAATAATTCATTTTATAGAAAAAATTGTGCATATTCAACGACCTGCTTTCCTAACGTCCTCAAACTTCCTTAGCAAGCCAGACTATCTCTAGATTGGGAATGGAGAATTCAGTATAATTCAAACAAACAATAATCCTAGCAGCTGCAGACCTATGCTATATCAAGAAATAAAGAAATTTCAAAGTGCTTACTGTTGCGTTTGGAAGTTCAAGAGCAGTTGCCACCGTTGAGACTTGAAATTTTTGATATTCTGCGCCTCGTCCAGTATCAGGTACTTCCACTTCTTCCTCCGAAAACTCTGATGATCCTGAATGACTAGCTTGTAAGACGTGATACATATGTGAAAGGCGTTAGGCTTAGTCCACCCTGTACGTTTCAGTTTGCGTTCCTTCTGGCTGCCGTAATATGTTAGGATTTTGAAAGCGGGACACCACTTTTTACATTCCATTTCCCAATTCAACATGACGGAGGTCGGCACCACTATCAAATGCGGTCCCCAATTTTCTTTTTCGCATGCCAGATGAGCTAGTAGGGCAATAGTTTGGATGGTTTTACCGAGACCCATTTCGTCGGCCAAGATTCCGTTCAATTTTCTTTCGTACATTGTCACTAACCAATCCAAACCGATGTGCTGGTACTCTCTCAAAGAAAATTTTAATAAAAAGGGGATTTTCGTTGACACCTGAAATTAATTAATTCATAAAGTTGGCATCAGATGGGAAGAACTTTCAATAACAATTTATTTCCAAATTCGACTTGGGCGTCAAGTTTTGCTTAAAAAAATATGAAAAATTATCTACTCGGTCGGAATCACGTGAATTTCGCTACATGTGAGAAGTTACATTTTTTCAAATCAATGGATGAAAATTGACATACTTGTTCGAATTTCAAAAAAGGTTACTTAGAAAAGTCGTTTTTATTCCAATTTCACACATGCGTCTCGAATTCGAACGTTCGGTCGCTTTAGTTCTTGATCTTTTTGAAATTTTTTCTAAACGTAACTTCGAGAAAACTGTCCTAAACTTTGGTTTAGATAATATGTAAAGTAGTTTGATGTTTTGATAAATGACTTTGGCATCATTTTAGTACTGAAAAAAATCAATTTAAATACATTTCTCCCCTGAATGATAGACGATACATCAACTTTGCATAAGATATATCAGATATAACAGATATAGTTTTGTCTGTATTAATTTTTTTCAATAATACAGAAATTTTGTTGAAATTGAAAAATATCAAAAGCTAAAAGTTCTAATAGAACATTCAAATTCGGGACACATATGTAAAATTGAAGTAGAAACAACTTTTCTTAGTTAAATTTTTCGAAATTCAAACAAATAAGCCTATTTTCACCGATTAATTTAAAAAAATGTAACTTTTTACATGTAGTAAAGTCACGTGACTCCGACCGAGTAGCCCATTTCTCATATTTCTCAACGCCGAAGTCGAATTTCGAAATAAATCAATATCTGGAATTTTTTTTTCGATATGATGCCGACTTTATGAATGACACTGTACATAGACACACAAGTGCATTTGCATCAATATTTCATTAAATTTTTGATTGGACAGACGGTTGCCTGAACAAACTTTAGGCTGAAGAGTGAGTTGAATAGATATGAATCTTTTCAACAACAACAGATTTTATACACAAGAAAAACGAGAAATAAAAAATGAACACCTCGAGGAAGAGATTATCGCCGGATTCCCAAAGATCCAAGACCTAGAACAAGTCATGCTAAATTTTCAACAAAGCTAATCAATCTGAATTTAAATCTCCTGTCAAAATTATTGAACATTTCACAGGCTAAAATAAAGTGATTTCTCTACTACTGTCGATGTTTTCTTTCAAATCTGACTTATATTTGTTTAAATTGTTTCTGATATAAATCTTCTTCATGAATTCAGATAATAGAAAAATGCTGTGATGAGTGTGATGTATACTCAAATATACAATTTTTGAATAACGGAAAACACTTCAGGAAATTCCAAGTATTGCTCAAATTGATATTTCCAGCCCAATAATGGAAGGCACCCATTATGTTTGCTTGATGATTTTAAATAATTTTACGAAAACAGCAAACTTGTTGTACATCACTGAATTCAAAATAAATCCAATTAGAATCAACTCAAAAATATATATTGTATCATTTGAACGAAGAAAATAACAGTTAAACTCAAGTGCTGAAAAGGAAAATTAATGTACCAGTGCCTTTTCCTTGTATTTGAGAAATCATTTCATTTGCTTTCTTGTTCATCAACATCAGACAATAACGCTGCTATGGCTTGGAGCTTTTTTTGACAGTAAGCCTGTATAATGTTTCACATATCTTATATGTTATATCTCAGTATATCTCAGTTATAAGGCATGTTTTAACAGAAATAAAACAATAGAAATACTTTTTCTGTCCCGAGTGGATAATTATTCAAGTTCGTAAGTTCCTCAAATTGTAAAAACATGCCGTGAGAGAAATCGACTCTTTTTAAACTGAATAAATACGCATGGTACTATCCAAAATAAATCTGGATGGAAAGATAGGGGAAGACTTGAATGTGTATGTCTCACAACTCATTAGGACTGTACTGTGAAAAGCTACTACTAGATTCCACAAGCTCTCTTTTTCAAAATGTGGTCAACATATTCGGGTTTCAAATGAATCTTAGAAAAAATAAACTCATATCAATGATATTTTGAACTTACATTTGTAGATGATAAAGTATTGCCTTTAGGCTGTATACTTTCTGCAATAGCTGCAGCATCATCAATAATCTTATCTTTATTATCTTCATCAGTCTTTTTTTCTTCTCCCTCTTTATGAGAATCTTCAACCAACAACTTGAGTTCATCATGGTCACCTTGGCTGGCCACATCCGACTGCTGGGTCTCCTCCTCGCTCTCCTCTTCCGATTCCTCGTCTTCATCCTCTCTGGAATCAGAATCTTCCGCCTCAGAAACCGTCTGTTCCTCCATTTTCGATTCAGACTTCATCATCGACTCGTCATCGGAATCCTCGGATTCGCTCAGCCTGATCTTGTCCCTATTCAAAAGGTAGTCCCTCAAAAGTTCGTCCTCCAGCAAATCGTCCAGCTCCATCTGAGATTCCTTGCGCAACGCCTCTACCTCCTCTTTGTGACCCTCGTTGCCTTCCGCCTCCTCCTGCTCTATGGTCTCCTCATCGTCGTCGTCACTGTGCTGACCGGGATGGAACTCCGTATCGGATTGTGCTCGAGACACGCTCCTAGACGAAACAGCGCTAACAGGCAAATCAGCAGTCTTGTTCATGCCTTCGGCCAGCAACTGCGAGTATTTCTCCGTCTGGTCCACGATGAAGCTCAGCTGCTGATCCAAAGCCCTCTTCCTCTTCTCCTCCAAGATGGTGTTCTGCTTGTACTCGACCAGCTTCTCCACGTTGCTCCAGAAGATCTTCACCTCCTTCGCACAGAAACTAGCTATCCGTCGGAGGTTCTGCTCTTGGGCCTTCTCCGCTTTCTGTGCGGCGAGCGCCTTATCCTGGAAGTATTTCTGCACCATTCTGGCGCACTTCTTGGCCGCGGCTTTCTTCCATTTGCGTTCCTGCGCAAAATCGGCCGCCAGCCAAACCATCTCTTCCAGCAGAAAGTCCCAATGCGCTTTGGCGCGGTGCATGTCTTGCACCTTGGGCAACCTCTTCTCCGACCATAGCCCTTCCTTTTGCAAATCTGCTATCCGCTGCACCACGTACGCTTCTTGTTTGGCCTTTTCCACGATCTGCTCTTGGCTGGAAGCGGTAGAACTAGTTGACGTTTTTGTTTTGATGGAGAAGGATTTCGGAGTGGAAAGGTTATCTGAAGCAGAAACGGTGGGAGTGCTGGTCTGAACGCTGGAGGTGTGGGAAATGCCTGGTAGAGAGCTGACTGAAGTGGCTGTGGGAGTGGTAGGAGGCAAGATGTTCGCCTCCTGAGGATCGAGAGCATGCTCTTTGAGGTAAGCGAGGTACGCTTGGGTTTTGGGTCGCTTCGCAAACTGGTACAAATCCAAGACGTTGCTGCCGCTCTCTAGATAATAAGCTTCCAATAGGTGCTCGTTGTATTTTTCCTTGACCAACTTGGAACGAACGATTCGATGGTTCATGACGTGCTGCAACTTTGAGGCGTAGCTGTCTTTCTTTTCGACCGCAGTTGACAGGGGTCGTTTGACAGACTTTTGATGTACCGAGTGTTGTACATTGGGCGCAGAACTCTCCGAAGTAGGAAACAACTGGAGCCGGACGTTCGTATTCGTTCGAGGCTTAGTGAGAACGTTCACTATGGATTGGTTGGCCAAACTGGGTCTCAAAGTGGTTGTCTGAGCTACTCTCGATGGACTAATACTTATGATGCGAGTGATACCAGTTGGTGATAGATTTGTATTACCAGATAGATTTCCTGGGTTGATCTAGAAGAAAAATCGCGTTGATGATAGAGTGTTTAGGAAATTCAGACAAAGGACTCGATGGTCGTTAGTGAATGAACCTCATATCATCAGATTCGATATTTATCACAAAAAAAGAAAATCAAAATACAGGGTGATCCAAAATTCGATGTACATATTTCAAGGTCGTGATGTTGGGATCAAAATAAGAATTTTTCTCATATAGACATGTGTCCTAAATTTCACCCCCTCTGAGCTACTGTAAGTTGGGTAAAAAAAGATTATCTGGAATAATTGTGATCGTAATAACGGATCAAGTGCAAGTATTCCAGTACTGCACGCTGCACGCCTCTGAAATGACAGTCTCAAAATAACCTCCGTATGCAAGTGTATGACACATTGCGTTCGAAAACGATCTCGTGACTTCCCCAAACAGTTAGTTGAATTTAAAAAATGCAAGAGACCGAATTCTTACACTTATTATGGCCCAAAAAATAATGTTATTCAGAGTCAGAGTTTCTCTTTTGAGACATAAAATTTGGCCAATAAAAGTGTGGACCCCCCTCCAACTCCCCCAAAACTGAGTTTACATAATGTTTTAAGCTTATTAAAATGGTTAGGCCCTGAACTTGGGACCTGTCCCAGAAGATACTCGAATAGTAGCTTTTTCAACTATAATCGAGACTAGGTGAAGTGATGCTTTATTCAACTCAGGCTGTGTCAAGTCTGTGGTTTGACCAGGCACATACGTTCAGTTTGAAGTCCGACCATTAGTCTGACCAATCAGCCGTTTGGGCATACCGGTCACGTTTCAAACCTGCCCACACAGTTACCACGTTAACTTTTGATGGCAGTCGAGTGAAACATTGACCATTCTGGTTGAACGACTGACTTGACACAGCCTCAACAGCTCTCTGACACTTTGACGTGAGAGGTACTGAGTGCTTCTAACATTATAATATTGATCATATAACACATGATTATTAGGTGCGTTTTATCGTGCCATAACTCAATCTGGTTCTTGGCATTGTACAAGTTTTGTTGTGCATTCAAACCCATTTCCATTCCCATTCGCATTTCTCATGAGAAGGATTGAAATTTGGAATGACAATTACAAGTGAATTGACAGTTAAAAGAACAATTGTTAGCATTTATTGCATACTAGCTAATAATAATGAATAGTAATTGTGAAGAGAACCACAGAAAAACAGGAATTTCTCCATCTAAGGCATTGATGTCTTCCAAAAATTCAAACATTATTCTCAAACGTTGGTTGAGAATCATGGATATTAAATTAGTCTATATCAATTTTTGATTCATGGGAGTAAAAGCAGAATGATGGTAATGGTAAAATTGTTACATACCAGAGACAAATACGAGGACAAATATAATATGATCAGATTTTGAGGTTGAAAATATCTAATGTTTCTACAGTTCCAAATAATGTTCGCATTGTCTGGCGCACCTGAAGCAAGAAGGATATACAGTGTCTGAAAAGACAGGGACGTGCCAATTTTCTGAAGATTTGATTATTCAGATAATCTTTTTTTTTACCTTACTTACAGTGGCTGTAGCTAGGAGGGGGTGCAATTCATGACACATGTTTATATGAAGAAAGTCTTATTTTGATCCAGACAATGTCCTTGAAATATTTAAATCCAATTTTGAATTACCCTGTATATTAAGATTTTGAAATCAAATTCAATACATAGGAGCCGTATCGACTAAAAATTCAATTTTCATATTCCAGCGGTTTTTGTAAATCACAAATGTTTGAGATACTCCACCATTTTGATTTCTTCAATTATGGAATTTTCAAATATTGCACTGTATACTATTATAGCCCTTTAGCTACATGAAGTCAAGAAATTCAAATTCGGTTGAAAGATGATAAAACCACGAGGAAAACTTCTGGTTTCTTGTGACCACTCGATATAATGTAACGATTCGATAAACAATCTGTAAATGATTAATGAACATGCAGGGCCGGATTAACCTTATCAGGCCCCCTAGGCGATGCAATTCTCGGAGCCCCTCTCCCCTTTCTTTTATGCTTTTTTAATTTTTGAAACAAAAGTCTAGTCGATCAGATCGACACCTTCGGTATACTGTTACTTCAATCTCTCGTGTAATATTGTAATACATGTATACCTTGAATTGATGCTACAGCATCACCTCACATGCCTGACTTGGCTCTGCAACGAAATCTTGAATGTTTTCACATTTCAAACATATCTCATTAGTCATTATACCTATCTATCAGTGATTGATTATCCAACTCATCAATTGAGTCAGTCGTTGCATCGTTGCTTTGAAAAAGAAATTCTCCAATAGTACAATGGATACGTCATTCGATGTTTCAATTTGACAACAAGCACCTATTGCCTGTCATCAGTGGAAAAATTACGTTAAAGGAAAACTAATGAAATTGAAAGCTCGATTATTTCCTGTTCCTACTTGGAATATATTTGAATGCATACAAGAAAAAATTGCCATCCATCCATCCATCCATCGTTTTATAAACTGATTATAATCATTAGAGTTCCTAAATGTACTTATCAGAGTACGGACACTATGACAAGCACTGACAATCAGTCATAACCACAAAAAAATTGATGGAAAAAGCGGGAACTGACAGTACACGGACGTTCATGACATAAATTTCAAAGGTTTGACAAATTGAGAGAATTAGGAGAAAGATGCAAGTTTGTGCAGTTTCCAACTGTGAGAACATGGGAAATCAATTCACTCTATTCGAATTTCCATCGGATAACGTAATTCTACAAAAATGGAAACAGAATATGATGCAGCCGGCATGGAATATAAGTTCAGGCCACAGAATTTGCGAGGTAAGTATTTAAATTTCTTGGTAGGAAGTTGAAGAATAGGATCGAATTGAGAGAAAGAGCCGAACCCACAATTTATGAACTGAGCAAGTATCGAAAAGAACCTTATTCCAATTTAGACTCTGGTTATTGCTTGTGATGGAATGATGAAGCAGAGATCACAATAGCCACCATGGAGATAATCTGATGATGAAATAGCAGAAACTTCCTGAATTGATTGACTCAAACTGATTTCACATCCCTGTTCAATCAAGAATTCTTTTGATCATCTTCGTGTACAGGGTGGGCAAAATTGGACGTTTTCACCGTCTATCTCAATAACTAGAGGAGTTATCGAAAAACCGATATACATGTTCCGGGTTCGATTTTGGAGAAACCTCGAATGGTACAATCAAAATTTCGATATCTTCATTCGTTTTAGAGATACAGGGGGAAATTGAAAATTTGCCGATTTCGATTTTATTTTCTGACTACTTTACGGTGAGAGGTATCAAAAAATTTCAAACGTATATTTATACAGTATGATGCGTGGAATCCATTGGCATCATCAGACATTTTATACAGGGTGACGTTGAGAAAATACGGCAGCCAATTATGTTTTTTCTAATGGAACTCCCCGTATATTTTGGCACAGTTGAATAGTCCCAGGCGTTCTCATTACAAATATATATATAACCCTACCTTTTCCTTCCACAATTTCAGATATATTCGCAAAAATATATTCAGTGTGTCACATTTCTTATGGTTGCACCCCCGTATCTTCTGTAAGAATGATTGATGGAAACATTAACGATCATAATACTTTGTGGCAGAATGCCTGAATATGATACTTTACCCATTATTTCTAGTATGCCTTAATATTTTTGCGTTCAAAGAGATAATAAATAAGATATATATTTGAAATTGAAACGGGAACTTTCCAGCTCTGCCAAAATATACGGGGTGTTCCATAAAAAAAATTGTTCTGTATCTGGAATTTGGACATCTTCTATAAGGCTATATTTTTCAACGCAACCTACTGATTTCCTAATTGAGTAAATTATTGGTCTTATTTCTGTATCTCAAATGTCTTGATAACAATGATATCAAATCGAATAATTCCCCATTTTATTTCTCACCAAATATCCATTTATCTGGAAATTACATTCCCTATAATATTTATTTTCCACATTTGGTGAATATATACAGAGTGTCATTTTCAACCTCGATTCTGCCTGTTGATAGCATTATCCAGAAATATCGATGATTCCATAGCTGCTGGCGAGCAGTGTTATCATTGGAGATGATCCCACTTGGTCCATGACTCCATGAGTGTATCATTTGTATCTTTCTGACAGTTGCGAATTTTTGAATCCTACCTCAATTATTTTTACAGAAGATATACGGGGGTGTAACCATAAGAAATGTGACACACTGAATATATTTTTGCGAATATATCTGAAATTGTGGAAGGAAAAGGTAGGGTTATATATATATTTGTAATGAGAACGCCTGGGACTATTCAACTGTGCCAAATATACGGGGTGTTCCATTAGAAAAAAACATAATTGGCTGCGGTATCTTTTCAACGTCACCCTGTATAAAATTTCTGATGATGCCAATGGATTCCACGCATCATACTGTATAAATATACGTTTGAAATTTTTTGATACCTCTCACCGTAAAGTAGTCAGAAAATAAAATCGAAATCGGCAAATTTTCAATTTCCCCCTGTATCTCTAAAACGAATGAAGATATCGAAATTTTGATTGTGCCATTCGAGGTTTCTCCAAACTCGAACTCGGAACATGTATATCGGTTTTTCGATAACTCCTCTAGTTATTGAGATAGACGGTGAAAACGTCCAATTTTGCCCACCCTGTACAAACTCTTATAATAATTTTCTGAAAACATAGTCACTTTGTGGAACTCTGATGTACCAGATATTGATGTATCTATATCAAAGAGGTGAATGAATTGTTCGTTTATCACTTCTTCAAAGTTGAAATCCTAAGTCTGAATGTGCTGGTTCATGCGAAGTTGAGAAGTGCTAGACGACTAACATAGCTCCTAGTGGATTTTGAACCACTTCTTGGATACTAAGATACGAGCAAGATATTATCAGAGCACAGAACAAGAACGCAATAAGTGTACCATTTATGTTAGGTATTGAAAATGATCTTCCAATGGCCGAGTTCAAACCAACAATCCCCTTAAGCAATGTGAACGGCGATCTATAGTGAGTCGAGCGCTGAAGTCCATTTATACTTACTTCCGAATGTCTTGGAGAACCTTCATTATTTATCCTAACCGAAATCAGCTGGTATTGTTGCCATTTCATTTGTTCATTTATTAATTACTTATCACCTACCGCTCTTGCACAAGTGAAATTGTTCCATACGAAATAAAAGTATGTTTCATTGGTTGAAATTTCTCAGTTTGAACGTATATATTTACCTACATATAAGAGACTTATTCCATGGGAATAGTATATGTATTTCGTTGGAATATAAATGTACATACCAACTTGACATAGACCTCCATTGAGGTCCTTCAGCCTTATTATTCAATATTTTGAGAAGAAATTATTTTCTAATCAATTTATCTTACCCTTTTACCCACTCGAGGAGACGCTATGCACTCTCATACAAAAATGAAAGACAGAGAAAGATACATGGATGTACTCTTCCCAGGACTTGTGGAGGAAGGAAGATGCGAGGATCCTTCAACTAAGCGAAAAACATATTCTTATCCTTCAATTGTGACACCTTGTCTAGTGTCCATACTCTAATATACAAAAAACGTCAAAACAGCAGTGTCAAGAACATTTAGGATCTCTTATAATCATCTGAAAAAATAACAGAATGGTGATCATGCATGATGGATCAGGAAATACAAATGAGACGCGACGCGGTTATATAAGAATTCGGGAATGATATTGAGGGAGTATACACACTTTCAAAAACAAACTCGTTCAATGGAACGTTTTTTTTTTGTTCGTGCACGGGGCCCCTAGGCAGTTGCATAGTCCGCCTTATGGATAATCCGGCCCTGTGAACATGTTGTACATGACTTGGAGCTTTGTTTACCTGAGTCAAAGCCGGCATTCCGTGCGGCTGCGTGGTGAGCACGTACTGCCCGCCCACCACGTGCGCCAATCTCATAGCAGGACCTGTTGTAGCAGCAGGGCGCTCCACCAAGGGTCGAAGGCCTTGGCCCTCTCGCGGGGGCAGAGCACCCTGCCCTGCCCCCGGAGTTTCATCGCTCATCGCTGGCTATTCTGGAAATGTCACGCATTCATAGTACCTACCGAGATATCTTGGAAGGAAAAGAAAAGAAGGGACGAAGGTGCTGGTCTACACCTTTTTCAATTGTAATTCAGAAAGTATAAGATGTAATTCAGAAAGTATAAGTTGCAATTCAGAATAGTTGTTTGTAATTCAGAAAGTATAACTTGAAATTCAGATTAGTTAATGAGCGTGTACACCTTAGTAGAACTTTCAACTCAAACCATGTTTATAATGATCCTTTTTACATAAATAATGATTGACGTCATAATTCGATCGAAAAATCAGCTGGAATGTTTTAGTTTTGGACATAAATAATAGTACCTTCTCATGACGTAGAAACCTCATCTCGCCATTGTTAAAAGAAAATACCAAACGCCCGACGGAGAATGAGGCAACTGATATATTAATTCTTTCAACTGTGATCTCGCGCTAATTCACTCTGTCAGAAATCATGTATCATTTATCTCTGTCTGGAATAGTCTTTTTTCAGTACATATTAGGGTTTTGACGTCACACCATCGCCTCGTTTTCAGAGGTCCGAAAAATCGGGGATTCCAATAATTTTTTATAAAACGTAGGGAGCTCACAGCAAGAAACGGTGGTGAGCTAGTTTGGGTGAGTTCTATCGAATTATGAAATACAATTTTTTTGTGATATAAGCCCATTGTAATTCAGAAAGCGTTATGTGATTCAGATTAGTGAAATGTAATTCAGATTAGTGAAATATAATTCAGAAAGTGTAACTTGTAGTTCAGAATAGTGAAATGTAATTCAGAAACCGTCAATTGTAATTCAGAAACTAGGAACAACCGGTATGCATCCATTCTCCTTGAGGTCCGGGTGTTGGAGAAAAACGACTTGTTTATCTATGTAGAACAGAATATTGACCGGGCCAAAGATACAATTATTGTTGGAGGTGAATGTGCTAGTACTGCACAACACACCACCATTCACCATGCTGCAGCTCTGGCTTTTCAAGATATGCCCGTTGGTCGATAAATATAATATATTGATGTTCACCACACAATGAACCATTCGTTGATTTCTATTCCCTGCCCTTATTTAGTGATACTTTCTGAATTACAAATTATATATATATATACATTTTGTGAATTTTAGTTAAAGATCCTCAAACCTATAAACCTACAAAGTTTCAAAACTTCCGGACCTATTTCCAGGTAAAAATTCCCAATGACTGGCCTATAAAAGATGGCCTGTTTTATAGAAAATATTCGAAAAAATGGTAGAATATTTGAACAAATAGAAAACCTCAAGTTATCGAAAGTCGTGAGCCGTCTTACGTTTTTTCATTCTCATTATGTGCACCACCAATTCTTACATTGACGCAGAAGTAGATATCAAGCAGCTGAATGACAGGAAAATAAGAAGTATATTTATCAGTTCTACCAACCCTGACTTCATGGTTCGGTGGAGCGGTTTGGTGGACAAAAAATAAGGGCGTGTTTTTCATTTCATTGAAGAAAGTACGCTCTGATAGATGCGGTTTTTTTGACGTCAGCAATAATTGTTCTGATCGAATTCACGCTGGAACGATGGAATAATTATACAACACATTGATGGAAAAACGGATTTTGTTGTGTATCGGTCGTCATGCATCTTCAGAATTAGAAGAGGCTGATACGACTTTATTGATTTACACTTATTCCATCTTCTAAAGTCTGTCAAGAATCTAAAAATTCGAAAATTCCTCAAGTTTTCAATAAATATACCTAAAATGATTTTTGGAAGAAGTCCATGGTAATTCAAAGTGGAGTGGAGTAGATGAAGAAAACCTAAGTCATCTCCACAACATTTATTTGACGATCAGATATCATCATATACAGTGTGACCCACTTCTAATGGAACCACCCCTGTATCTTACGTAATCGTTGGGTAAGGATCCTGAAATTTGCTGGAGCGAGAGATATACCAAAAATGCACTCTATGACCAAGTGGGGTCATCTTCAGTGATATACACTGCTCGCCAACAGCCATGAAACTACCTCAATTTCCGGAAAATGATATTAGGAGTCAAAATAGGTCGAAAATCACTTCAGATTTGGAATCAGGACGCCCAATTTACTAACTATTCAAATTTTTCCTGGAAAATTCTCAGTTCGGAAAAATGAAATTTTGTCGCATTTTTTATGGAAGCACCCCCGTATCTCACGTAATTGACTTTATCTTTGGACTTTCTCTTCCTCCGGCAAATTTCAGAACCCTACCTCAATTATTACGTGAGATACGGGGGTGCTTCCATAAAAAATGCGACAAAATTTCATTTTTCCAAACTGAAAATTTTCCAGGAAAAATTTGAATAGTTTTTCGACCTATTTTGACTCCTAATATCATTTTCCGGAAATTGGGGTAGTTTCATGGCTGTTGGCGAGCAGTGTATATCACTGAAGATGACCCCACTTGGTCATAGAGTGCATTTTTTGTATATCTCTCGCTCCAGCAAATTTCAGTATCCTTACCCAACGATTACGTAAGATACAGGGGTGGTTCCATTAGATGTGGATCACATTGTACTATATGGAATATTTGCATTCAATTACTCTACTGTATCGTTAGGGACCTAAATTAATGTTTGGGTCACTTCTCGTGCTTTTTTTATGTAAATTATGAGTGAATTATGCTGTTTTGTTATTGGTCAGATAATCTTTCATTCCCACTCATGAAGCAAGGTTGCTAAATCACCAATTATAATCAAGTTATCAAGAAGTTGTTGAGTCTTGCCATGATATGATGGTTAACTCTTGACTTTTTCGAGCAAACAGCATGTCCAAAATTTCTTATACTTCATAACAAAATATCCTGTAAATGCTGGAGACTTGGCAACATTGCGCTGAATGCTGAGAACTGACAAGACACGCCCACAATTCGTGCGCCGTTGTTGTCACGTTTACCGGTTCAAATGGCCTCTAGTTTGAATTTATATGATTATTATTAACACAAATGTATTATTACCAATAAGCCACAACACATGAGGGATCATTGTGAGACAATTGATTTTTTAAAGCTAATTAGGAATATTACCGGAAATTTATGGATTATTGAATAACTAATATTTCTGAAATTCCCAATCGTATTTCAACATATGGCAACTGTGCTATGGTCTGTCCCTAATTACTAAATCGTGACGTCTGTTTTTACTCGCGGTAAATTTCTAGCCGTTTGAAAATTACCGTGGCATTATTGATGATTTTGACACCAAATATACCGATATTTTTTCGCACGACAGTCAGAAATTTCATGAATTGTCAAACTATAATTATTATGGACATTTCCATAGCAACCAACCATTCCAACAACTGCGATTTCTTTCAAATTTTATTTTAATTGATAGAGATATATATATCATTATGAACAATCGGAGAAAAAATTATATGTTCAACTCGGCAGCATAGTAGATTGACTGCCTTAGCTGGATTCAGCCTCGGCAGTCAATCTACTACTTTGCTGCCTAGTTAAACAAATAACTATTTCCAAGAAAACATTTTCGTCAAAAGTACTTGTCCGAATAGGACGTTTTTCGTTTTGAATGACAGCTTATTACCTTCTGAACATTGGTGTGAGGACTGCTCGGCAAACTGTATTCGCATAAAATCCTCCTTTTATGAATACAGGGTGTACCAATTATAGCGTGTTTGTTTCATGAACTTTGTAATACCCTGTGGTGTGTAACAGTTACGTTATCATGTTGAAATTGAAAGTACACTTTAGCCTTATCTTTTTTCAACGTTCCTTTTTTGGATGATTCACTCCATTATCTTTCCCATTACTGGATAAACAACATTTCATAGCGAAACATGATTTTATTGAATTCAATTGGCATTATAAGCAGGAAAGTAGCAGGCTATGGTCTGGGAACGCATTTAAAGAATGATAAAGATGCCTGCAACGCAGGTGTTGAAAATTTCAAATTCACGTTGCTAATTTTCTGATTTTAATATAATGTAATATCTTCTCAATATTGATTCGTCCTTTTTCCTGTCACAGAAAAAATATTGTATTATACAGGGTGTATCTAAATAACACCGAAAACATTCAAGGATATAAAGTTCATACAAACATGTGTCCTAAGTTGCTTCGTTTTCGAGATGTGTATTAATATTTCCATGAAAAATCTTTTTTCTGTTTATTTCTCAATGGTCTTTTCATCAATTTCAATAAAACGTTGTGTTTTTGTTAATAGAAATATGGAGCTTCTTCTAGTGCAATTAAATTCGAAATAATATTTTCAGTGGCGTCACAGTGGGTGAATTTATCGATATTCATGGTGAATGTCATTGTACCGGGTGTACCACTAAGAAAGGACACCGGCTGTATCTCGGAAACTATTTGCCGCACAGGTTTCGAAAAAAAATATGAATGATGGAAGTGGCCAAGAGAAATCTCTGGAAATTAAAAGTTTCCAGAACATCCGCTAGAGGGCGTAATTGCATTGGCCAGTTTAATAAACGGGTTTTTATAAAAATTTGATATATCAAGACATATCAAAAACACTTTTTTCATGTTCTCGAGTTGATTTCCAATCATTTCGATCAAAAAAACTTGCGCTAGCTCTTTGAATAAAAGAGGGAGGGAAGGATGAATAGTACTTTGAATAAACTCTCATTACTACAGTTTGGTGTAACGGAATTCAACGATCTTGGTCTCATTATGAAGGGTTTCTTTAATAATTCTTCAATGAATCACTAATCAAGTCGATTTAATAAATCCTGTGGTGGCCGCTAGATGGCATCTTTTGAGAAATCAGACAATTTTCAATTTTTTTCGAGAATTTCAAATGGAACCATATATTTATTCCACTCTAATATGAAAGTAGAGCAAATGAGAAGAAGAATGGCGAAAACCGCGAATTGATACCTCTTGAGGAACCGGTGAAATACTCGAAATAGTATTATGAAAATATTCACCACAGGAATCTAACTTCAATAATCGTAATCAGAAATATTCTGTATCTATGAAGTAATATCTCACAATAGTGAAGGAGACTCCTAGTAATGACATAGCTAATTGAAATGTAAGTATTGAGTAGGCTTTCAGGAATGAGAAAAGACAATCAAGTTGGCTTTGAATGAAAGAAACGTCAAAATATAATTGAAGTTCTATTGGAAGTTTTCACTGTTCATTATATATGGACTGCTTTTTTGTCAAAATGCCGATATCGAATGAGGAGGCATTTGACATGCTAGTAGTTTAAATTTTAATAATATTATTCCAAGTATTTCTCCGGTTCTTCGAGAGGTATCAACTCGCGGTTTTCACCATTTTTCTTCTCGTTCACTTCACTTTCATATTATATCAGAAAAAATAAATGGTTCCATTTAAAATTCTCGGAAAAAAATGACAAATCGGCTGATTTTTCAAACGATGCCGTCTAGCGGCCACCAAGGGATTTAAATCGACTTGATTCGTGATTTATCTGCAAGATCTGAAAAAACCCTTCATAATGAGACCAAGATCATTGAATTCCGTTATACCAAACTGTAGTAATAAGAGTTTTTGTACTATTCATGCTTTCCCCACTCTTTTATTTAAAGAGCTAGCGCAATTTTTTTTTATCGAAATGATTGGAAATCAACTCCAGAATATAAAAAAAGTGTTTTTCATATGTCTCGATTTATAAAATTTTCGTAAAAACCCGATTTTTCAATTGCCTAATGCAATCACGCCCTCTAGCGGCTGTCCTGGAAACTTGAAAATAATTTCCAGAGATTTTTCTTGGCCACTTTTATCATGAATATTTTTTTCCGAAACCTGTGCAGCAAATAGTTTCCGAGATACAGCCGGCGTCCTTTCTTGGTGGTACACCCGGTACACCACCGGTTTTTGTTAGTTTCATATCTTCATTAGATTGAACTATAGAAATAAAAACGTTTTTATCCTCTCTGTGATTTTTGTATCTAGTTTAGTTTTTGAGGAAACAACAAAAATTCGATTTGACTCCAAATTTTAATGTATTCAAGACTTCCATTGAGATTACTCAATAACCCCAATTAGAATCATTTTGAAATGTTGGGACTTCCTCAGTCTCCATCCATTTTGGCACCATGAAAGCTTATACAGGGGGTTTATGAATAAAAACAATTAATACTTCCAACTTCAACATTCTGTATCTCAAAACACATGTTTATATAAACTTTATTTGCTAGAATGTTACAAGGAAACAACCCTTGAATTTTTACGATGTTATTTAGATACGCCCTGTATACACCGGAAAAATATTAGATTTTACCACACGGTTTTTTGTCTCCCTCCGCTGTTCGTCGGGAGACAACACAACCTGGAGGTAAAACTTAGTACTTTTTTCCCTTCTATAATTAATAAAAAGTATTACTGTTTGTCGACGTGGATAATAGTTATTTATTATACAAGGGAAAAAAGTAGTAGATTTTAGCTCCAGGTTGTGTTGTCTCCCGACGCGTAGCGGAGGGAAACAAAAAACCGTGAGCTAAAATCTAATATTTTTCCCGTGTATAATACACTATTTTTTTCTGTGACAGAAGGAAGTACGAATCAATATTGAGAAGATAATACATTATTTTGAAATCTGAAAATTGTCGACGTGAAATTTTGAGTTTTTAACAGTAGGACACCTGCGTTGTAGGCATTTTTATCATTCTTTTGAAATAATCAAATATCTGATGTCACTTCTGTCAGTCTAATTCTGTGATTTGATTTCAAAAAATTGCGAATTTAGTAGTTGTTTAGTAATATATACGTAACCGCGAAGTCGAATGGAAGATAACTCGGAAGATAAAATGACTTATAGTTCTTTCTCGGAGACGGTATTATTGAGTCATTTTTCGGAACTATAGCACAACAAAAGCCATCAACAGTGTATGTATATGTAATATATATCTGGGAAAAAAGTACCCACTTTTTTCCCACGGGAAAAAAGTAATTTATGAAAAGTGACATTTTATAACCTGCCAACAGAAATGAAATGCCAAACGTTTTTCCCGTCACAGAAAAAACAAACAATGTTGAATAAATAAATGAAATGAAGAAGGGATCACACTTCAATCTAAGCTAAGCTGAAATTAACCACTGGCACTCACCTTTGCCACAGGGCGTTAAGAAATTAAGGGTGAAAGAGTAACTTTTGTTTTCCCTGTATAATGATCAAGTCATCTGCTTTTCATAGGACCTACTATTCAGCGTATTCAGGCTAACATTCCCAAACGTGAATATACGAATTGGTAATATGATTTGGTCGAAAATCGGAAAAGAATTCAAAAAGTTACAGGGCGAACAATTTGGCAAAATTTTTTGTTGGCCGGTTTTTTTTTGCCGGGGAGTGTATATCTGTGAATATTCCATTTCACACTGCTACTATACTTAAATGTGAAAGGATTTCTTTTATCCAAACATCTGAGTTGAAGTTTATGCAAAGTCAGTTGAACAAATCATCAAACGAATGTCGGGCCGCGCTGCCGCACTCTTTGAACTTTCAAAAGGACCAATGGCTGGCGGTGATTTGTTTTTCCAACTGACTTTGCATATACTATACCTACCTACACATATTAAATATCTCAGGTGAAGCAGACAACATATCACTATAAATTTTGAAAAGCATTTTCGGACAGTCGGACACTACATAGTTGACTGCCTCAATTAGAATATTTTCGACAATGCGGTATAGCCACTTCTATTAGAAAGTAGTTGCAACTTCGAAATATCAAATGGAAAATTGTGTTAATCAAATTATTCTCAAATTCTCCTTCAATTTTTGAACAACTTCTGCTGATATTCCTTTTCAACTATCGACTTTTTAAAATCTCTTGGAGCGCATGAAATGAAATTTCTATAATGGGAGGTTATATAAGTTCTTGGGAATACTTCCATTGGCCAAGAATTTCAAAGCATTGCCGTTCTATAGACAGAAGAGTTTTGGTAGTGTTGTTCAAAATAGTCCAAGGTTAACGAATGGATGTGCTGACTGGGCATGTCAAGGTTATCTGACTGGTACCTATTGCGTTCACGATGGTTTGAAAATATTGTCGTTTCCTTGAGATAATTACTCAAAGTCGATTATTTCAAGTAGAAAAACCTGATGTATAATTATAATATTCAATCGGAAAAACTGTGAAAATGATGAGGATTCACCCTCTGTTGATAGGATAGGAATCTCAGATAAATTAAAGTTCTTCCTCAAAATGAAGAAGAAATCTGAAAATGAAGTTTGTCGGTTATATTCTAATTCACCCTGTACCTACTTATATTTCAAAATGTTCAATACCTAAGAAGGTAGCCTTTCTAGCTTTATCCTAGAAATGCAACTTCGACTTTTTAGATATACCTAATGAGAGATCAATTTTTAGGATGAGTAGGTAGGTATGAAATATTACATAAGTACGGGTTTTTCCAAGTAAAATATTTATTTGACATGAAAAATTAACTATTTTATTAAATTAAAAAGCCGGTACCTAGTAACCTATTCAAGTCTGACACCATCCTTGTTTTGATTTTATTATTCATCGTTTATGGAGGGAAAGCAGTGACTAGAGGGAAAGGAACTCTTGACATCGACAAAATCACAACTTTTTAAATAATGGAAGCTTTCGTAATATTGCACAATATTCGAATGAATTAATAAATGTCAGATCATAATTAAAATACCCATTTTCCTACTGATAAATCAATCAAATTACTTTCAATTAAGAAAAGATTTTTAAAATGTTTTTAAATTTCATTTATAACCTTCACGTCAATTTGAAGTTCCTCTTTTGGCGGTAAAGTCAAAATCAGAATTAATAAAAATGAAAATCATTATTAAACAAGGAATACAATAATGTATAGCTACAAAAATGGATTATCAAGTAAATAAGTAAGTTTAGTATTTCCAAATTAATGGTGCTTATGTTCAATATCGACTACTTTGGAGTCTTTGGACATTAGGGCAAACAGCAACTAGAAGCTAGAGCTACGGCAACAGCCCACGGTCATTTCAGTATGATAATTTCTTTTTAATGTCAATTCATGTACAAAATTCAAGTAACAGTTGAATTTATTCTCAGTTTTAAATATCTAAAACCATTCCGAATCCGCCGGTCATGCGATAAATCCACAAGAAAAATATAAATTTCAAAATATTATAACAAAGGATATTACGGCCGCCATATTTTATAAGTTTCCGACCCAAAACTTACCATCATGTAATCACAAATTATTCACGAATGTATCGGTCATCCGAAGTTGAAAATATGATATTTGAGTCAATTAATTTTCAATGTACAATTGGGTACTCCACATAACTTGAAAATAATGAAATATACTTATTATTTTGAACATTTTACGCGTTCACTTCAAGCGCATAGTCTTGGTCAACATGGCGTCACGTTCAGTTAAAAAAGATAGCGGAAGCGGGCCGAGCCCGTTTCTCAAAAACGGTGTTGCCAGATTAGCTATTCATTTCATTATTTTCATAAACGATTCCATCAGTTGAATGAAATCAGTTGAAATAAGAATCAACTTTCGCATTTTGGTAAAATTGGGTCAGTAACACTCCAAACACGCAATACCCAATAGCATGTATAAAAAATGGGAGAATCGTTATTCTTCAAGTTCAAGGGTCGAAAAAGTGCACTTTTTGAATACCTATACTATTATTTTTTTCCAGATAGGTGAGTGAATCTCGTTTAGTTCACAGGTTCAACCTCTGAACACTCAACATACATTGGAAAATCTAAATGAAATTCAACATTGCGGCTTTCTCACTTTTTTATTAACCGAATTGCGTAAGTACTTGGCAACAGCGAAGCCTGGGATTGTTTGCGCATGTACTTTACGCACACTTTACGGTGATTGCGATGTGAATTCGACTGGATTGCGCATGTGCATTGTGCAGGCAAAAAAAAACTGATGGGGTCGATTCTTTTGTGACCAATGAGGAAAAAGAGAATACTGATTTTCTCTACTCTTTTGTTCCATGGTCTTCTATGTGATAGTTGTGTTTTGTGTCACTTCTCTTCAGTTGTCAGATGCAGTGTCAGATATAGATGTTTCTGTGATTGTTTGTTTTTTATTCTATTTGAAGTTTTGATTTGGATTCCACAAATTTATCTTGTCAAGGCCAGTTCATTGAATAATTTCATTATTTTATCAATAGTTGTGTTACCCTTGCTTGCTATCAAAGTAAATATGTACTCTTAGCATTGCAATTTTGTTCGGTTTGTTTTTGTTGCCTCTTGGATGTGATGGTAATGTGTACAGTAACCTCAACATTGCCTCAACCTCTCATCTACTGATCTGCTGAATCTCAAGAAAGTAAAAGCTTTAACAATGTACTGCACACTATAAGGGCATATTCTCAGATAAATCAAGATGCTTCTGCTATCAGAAGGACTGCACTCCTCTTTGGATAACAGCATTTTGAAATTATTGAGTAATAAAAATATTTCCACTGTCCTGGACTTTCTCCACAGTGATAGTAAAGTCATTGAAAAAGCCACACCATTAATATTCAGGGTAAAAGAGAATCCTTCAGATTACTTTGGTAAACTGTTCATTTTATAAAATATTTATCACAGGAAATCTTGAATATCAAAAAAGAACTTTTGAAGATATATTCCATCAAACCAGAGAATGCTTACCACTATTATCAGTTCATATTATTGAATTGTGCCATTATTCAGACTGGTATAGAAAGGTAATTACAAATCATTAGAACATTGGAAACCTGTTCTTGTAGAATGGTTTTATCCATTTTCTTTTTTAATTCTTTGGAAACTTTTTATTCTTTCAGTTTGGACAATCTTCTAGAAGGAGGATTATTTACAGGAAATATTTATGAAATATGTGGTTTACCTGCCACAGGCAAGACATTATTTTGTTTGACATTGTTGAAAAATGTTGCAACTAGCCTAGAAAGTGTGTACTATTTAGATACCAAATATGATTTTCAGGCACTGAAGTTGAAACAAATGTACAGTCATTTGAGTAAGGTAAAGTTTGAAGAATGACTTTTACAAATTTTATACTGTCCTATTCCAGGTCAAATTAGTAGAATCCATGAATCATATCATGGTAAAAAGAACTAATACAAAACAAGACTTACTGAACAGCTTACTAGAAATCAAGAAAATAATTAGCAGTGGTAGAAACATCAAACTTCTCATAATTGATTCTCTACCTGCCTTATGCTTTCAGTCAAATGATCATAATGAACAAAATAGTTTTCTCAATGAAATGGTGAACAATTTACATTATTTGGCTGTCAAGTGTAATATTGTGATCATTGTTACAAACTTGATCACTTTATGGAATGAAGGAGATTTCACAAACAAAGATGTCATGAAAGAAAGAGTGGCATGTGGTAGTTATTGGTACAATATTCCCAACTCCAGATTGAAATTTCATAAGGAAGGCAATAAAAGCACCATAACTTTGATGAAATCTATAAAAATTATGCCTAAAGTACCACACTGTGAAGCTAAGATCACAGATGAAGGTTTCATTTAACAAATAAGCATTCAATATTTTATAATTTTGTATTACTAAAAAAATTGAATCATAATTATTGTGCAAAACAGCTGAAGATTTCAATAACATATTCAATATATTTTTAGGAATAATTTGAATAGCATGGACAACACTGCAAAACCAAGTAACTGCAATAACTAGATTTTTCAGAAGACACTGAAAACTAATATAAATAATTTTGGGTTAACTGATCAGATTTAATACTAAATAGTCACAAACCACTTGATTATTATTATCCTTACATTTGTACATTGGTTATTACAAATTGTTCATTGTTTGTGTTGTAGGAGTTGATACATGGAAAATAACAATCATTCAGAAAGAGTAACTTACAAAAACAATTCCTCATTATCCCTTGTTAAAACATCAATTGCAGTTAAGAATAAACTGTTTTACATATTTGTTCTTTAAAAACATAATTGAACACACCATGAAACACATGGCTAACTATTATAGATACTTGTTTTTGATGATCCATTTAATTTGCTTTTCAGATGAGTTGTTTTAAAATATTTAGAATTTTTTGCCAGGTTTTATATACTAGCCCCACCAATACAATCAAATGATTGCTTGCAGCCAGAATCTCATTTCTGAGATTTTGTCAGTTTACTTGGTTTTGTGGTGTCATTGACAATAATTAATTTACTGGGAACTCATAAAAACTTTTAATAGCTTCAGTAATAATTAGAAAATAAAAATTAGTGAGCACTATTTTTTCTGATGCTTAAGGTATTGCTTCATGACTTTCTTTCCTGGCTTCAGCCCTTGAGTTAATCCTGGACGTTTCCTTTTCTGCTTTAGAGAATCAAGATCATCACCTATAGTTTCTGAATCTAGTCCTGTAGTGGAAAGGGGCACAGTCTTCACACTGGCACCAGTTTGATCACTCTGACACACCACAGAATTTTGGACAGCCGATTTTTTTTCCAAATCTATTTGGTCATCAGATTTTTGAATATCAGAATCATGAGCAAATTTGCATTTGTGTCCAAACCTACATCTACCCTTGCGATAGTTCCAGCAGATTTTTTTTCCATTTATGATGACTGTGTTGTCTCTTGATTCCACCATCTTCACATGCTTTTGCAGTATAGCTTCTTTGGCATTTTCTGCTTCAATGAATGGATTTTTGAACACTGAAGACTTTACTTCATCAGTAGCATTTCTTGTTCCACCAAAGTTTGGTGCTGGTAATAATTTACCTTTTGGGGTTGTGTCTTGTTGCTCTTTGCCTATTTTAACACTGAAACATATGACAGCTGACCCATTTTTTACAAAATTGTGTTATTAATTTGTATAAAGCCTATTTACTTTTAGCTAACAGATACACTTTGCATAGAATACCTTTATTTGAATATTTTCAAGCTGGAATTATGAACTCAACAAGTTTTAACAATTAAATTAAGGAACTTTGGAAGATGATAGGTCTTTCAGAATATTCAACAAATCATCAGCTTCTTGGATCCTCATATTAATTATTCTTAGTTTAGTTGAATTTATTGAATCCAACATAAGGGAGCTAGACCAGGGGCTCTTGGGATTATTCAATAATAATAATCTATACCTACATACCTGGTTTCACTGTCATCAGAATCAGAAGGTGAATTTTCGGCCTCTGAAGAATCTTCATATTCTGGGACTAGAGACATTCTGGAAATGTACCAATGTAATGAAAATGTCCCTTCAATTTCATCAATGTTTCTCTGGATTGGAGATCACTTCAGTGAATTCTTGATTTCAATTCTGTACCTGAAGCTTCAACTTCTCATCTACGTGCTAGAGGGATTAGAGAAATTGCAAATTTCAATAAGAACTCATTCAAAAAATGATAACAATGAACGCATCAGATTACCAAATAAAATATACAATTGTTATTTGTTATACAAATTATTGCAACTTTGCAAAATCACTAAAATCAGTCAATCAATCCATTGACCACAGAACTCATATTCTTTACAGACAAATAATTTGAGTTCTGTGGCTGACATGTCATTATTCAATATTCTTATTGTCAAATGTCAATTGCAATTGGTCATTCTACAACTCTACGATAGATGTCGCTACGCTGTCACAAATTACATTGACAGAACATTGGATTTTTTCTTTTGCATATGCTTTTGCATGAAGTCGTGATTGTAGGCTACGCAATGAAGCCAATGAACTCAATATAATTGACGAGATTGAAGATGCCGAAACTTCATTATTTCAAATGGAACACCCTGTATTTTTTTTACGTTAACAGTTCCAGATCCCAATTACCCTCAATTTGTTTGAAGTATGTCCTATACCTTTATGTTGCCGCTTTCGATATATAAATCGATTCATACGAAAAAATCTATATTTTTCGAAAACTGACATTAGTAATGAGGTATACATTCTTTTCAACATTTTGAATTTCGATACAATTCCATTGAATTTATTCATGTGTTGAAGGATGGTATACCAAATTTCGAATAGTTTCGTATACCTATAAATAGGTCTACAAAATGCCGAATGTTTTTGCAACTCATTTCAATACCTATTTTCAGTACCTCAGTATAAACAAAGTTAACAAAGCGAATTATTCCATCCTGAATGCATAAGAAATTAACACATAACAAATTGGCGAATATCTATTTTCGGAACTTGGTGCATTCATATCCATCCAGATCCTGTGTATATAAATAGGTGAAGAAAGCAAATTTCAGAATTTTTTCATCGTTATATGGAAATATACCAGCGCAAAATACCAACCACGTGTAGAATGCATTCATATATAATTATATTATACAAAAACACTTACCATTGAAAATACAATCACTAAGCCGTATATGAATTCCAATTTTCCACTCTTAAATACTTCGAGTTCTCTTTTATTATCGCTTGAATCGACCGTACGCGATGAAGCCTAGAACGAGACTGCTGATAGGTTTGATTCATCATTCAAATGACTAATTAGTTACGTCATCCTTTCACCCAATAGTTCCCGAACAAGTATGACTAATTCCGATATCGATTGTAGGTATACAGAGTGGAGTAAAAATGAAATGAGTTCTTATTCAGAAAATCAATGAAATCGTCAAACTTTTTTCCCGTCATAGAAAATAGTTATTTTTGTACCTAGTGCGACAATAATGCTACTTCGGTGATCGAAAACTGATTTTTTTAACGAAGCGCAGCCAAGTTAAAAATATATTCGAGATGACCAAAGTATTTCGCGCACGAGTTGCAAACGAGATTTTTTATACAAACGTTTAAAAATATATAGTTCTAAAGTAGTAACATGCTTATAGCTTAATATAGAAAATAGTGTTGAACTGGCTTGAAAGGCCTCTCCCTATCCTACCTAGGAACGCACAATGTTCCACGAGTGTGAAAGGAATTTCCTTTCGTGCGGTCCAAGAAAAAAAAAAGGTTAAACATTCAGAACTAAATGATTTCTTGGATGTTTGCTCGATTGAGGACCATATATTTGAAATATAAAAATCTCATATAGTTTATACATACATTATTGTATGCGTATACCGGCCAGGTGTCCCAACTCATCGTATACAGGCAACATATCTCACTTATATGACAATAAGATCAGACATTATCATGATCAGACATTATTATGATCAGAAAATGGAAAAACTGCTTTGAATGGCATCGAAGCACTTTCCTAATGACTCACAAAAAATGAATTACATTTGATAGCCTTGTGGTAGGTACTCTTCACTTTTTATTTTCAAATGACACACCCTGTTTATTATTCCATATTCAGTTAGGGATTATCATAACGAATTCAACGATACCGAGTTTGATAGGGTTATTTCAAACGATTACGTAGATATTCGCGTTCTAAATTTCCATATATGCTCAATGAGTGTGACAGAGAAAGAATAAGTTCCGGTATTGCACCATCACACCTTGAGCATATGGAAACTTCGAACGCCAATATCTCCGTAATCGTTTGAAATAACCCTATCAAACTGGGTATCTTTGAATTTGTTATGATAATCCCTTACCGAGTATGGAATTAAATACAGGGGTGTGCCATTTGAAAATAAAAAGTGAAGGGTAGCTACCACAGGGCTGTCAAATGTAATCCATTTTTTAATCAGTCATTATAGGAAGTGCTTCGATGCCATTTAAATTAGTTTTTCCATTTTCTGATTATTTTGTCAAATAAGCGAGATATTGCCTGTATACGATAACTTATTATTGGGACACCTGGTATATATAATAAACTGTATGAGGTCAGGTTAGAATATTTTTTGAACTCGGTTGCGCCTCGTTATAAAAATCAGTTCTCGATCACCAACGACGTAGCATTTCGCGCACTAAATACAAAAATAATTATTTTAAGTGTAAGGTTGAATATGCTATATATTTTCTTTCGATAGGGGTAGCGAGGATTTTTTCAATAGGCAAATTCTTCCTTAGGTCTGTTCGAATATGATTTATATCCTTTACCATCGCAGCAGTTTTTTTATTTACACCCTTAAATTCATTTTTTTGTGTAAGGTTGCGATTTTTACTCTATCTCATTGCAGCTGTTCTTTGTAATACCCTCAAGAAACAGGCTTTAAAAAAATTTTGTTCGCCACTGGGTCTTCGGCAATGTTCGGAGATTTTGGCTGCTATCTTTGGCTGCCATGTTCACACAGCTGTCTCGGAAGTCGTAATAATGACGTCTCGTCTTTTTGGTCCTTCCGTCTCTTGGTTTGGCAGGAACTGGTGGAGTGTTTCTGCACTCAATGTATATGTTTCCTTCTTACTCTCATGTGTTAAACAGAGGTAAATATACACTCAGTGGAAAAACACACCACCAGTTCCTGCCAATGGAATTCGCTATTAGTTTCATGTTCCGTCCTTCGTATTTTGTACTCTTTGTAGTCTGTGGAATCTGTGGCATGTGGTCTGTGTCCTGTGGTGTTGTTTACTTCTTTGTGAGTTTGTGTTTGTGATTGTCTCTGATTGTGTTCATGTTCTTGTCTTGAGCGAAATAATATTATCTCTTTTCGATTTATTAGCTCACAAAAACTTGAGTAGCTACACTTTGAATTAAGTAAAGATCAAGTGGAACCAGTTATATTTATCTCGACAGACCTGACACAAACTGATACTGCCTTGATGGAGACCTCATAGGTGATTATTTTTTGATATAGGACTTCGAGGGAGACGTCCAGTATTATATTTCCACCATGGGTATGTGTACATTTCAATTTTAGTTTGTTTATTTTGAGTAATATTCCTATTTGTCGCATCTATTAACGGTACTTATATGTTTTGAATGAATCGTAGATATATATACTGTAGGTAAAACTAATTTGTATTCCTTTGGAGTTCCATATCATGAGGGTTGATAGGATAGGAATAGAAAGTGATGATGTACACAGAATATTATTTCATTCTGAAAAAGTAATGGCAAATAGAAGCAGTATTTAATACATATTGGGTGTGTAGGTGTAGGTGTAGGTTTAAAATGGTTCAACCTTAACATTGGTGAAATAAAATCAGTCAATCAGCGAGCAGATGTCAAAAAAGTACACTTCAACTGGAGCCTCAAGCCAATATCAAGGCCAATATATTGATATCATGTCCTTTATTATTATTCATATTCAATATGCATATTGAACAGAGATTGAAAAATAATTTGTCAGTTTTTTCCACTCGGGTTTAGGGCTCAGGCATAGGACTGAAAAATTCCCTTTACTAGCAAACTGTCCCATTGCTGAATTTAGAATAATTCATTTTGCTTTTTATGCATAAACTTTCATTGGTTCCAAAGAGAAGTTATAGGATTATTGACTTCCTATTGAGAATAGATGAATAGACTCCTAGGAGTTCTAGGTATACCTACTAGAAAGTGTATAACAAGGTGTATAATATAATATGTTCACTTGAATGTTGATAAGACACCAGTATACCAACACACTGTATTTGTAGAACTATTTTTGGTAATTAGTATTCACACAATTGAGAAATGAAGACAATCTATACCTAGTTGAACAAACAAATGGGGCCCATGAAAAAAACAACAATACTGTAGTGATAAAAGTCTTTAAGATTTTCTTGAGGATTTTCCCTCGATTTTTTTTCAACTAGAAAATATTTGAAGTTTCTCCTGTGTGACCTGACATCAAGAAACACTTTTTTTTGCAGAACAGTCTTTTCCACAACTATTTTGATATTTTAATTCCAATAATAGATTCACAGCTGATATCTTGAGCAGAATAATGTTACAGCCAGCAGTAGTGAATGATGTTGCCACATGTTTTAAATGTTAGTGCATACACATAAATCAGTCACAATTTAACATATTGCAACCAGCCATTTTAATTATATCAGAGGCCTTGTCAGAGGCAGAATGTTTTGTACTTTTGTACTAAATGCTTGACTAAATGTTAATTTCATCAGATGTCTGGTAGATTGAAATGCTTTGTGAGTTTTAGATAGTAATTTTAATGTCAAGATTGGGTAATTGAAAACCCTTTCAAGGCTCATAAGTTGAGGTATTTTCCAGTGATACTGGAAATAAATATGAATTTTCTTCCAAGTTCCAACCTCGAATCACGACTGTTTTCCCGAAAAAAAAAATACTAAAGAAGCTAGCAAAACCACTCACAAATTCCAGACTCATCACATAATTTTATGCTCATTTTAGACTAATTTATTACTCCATTCCAAATTTTGTTTTTATTCTCTATCTATTGAGAAATATGCGAGGAAATATGTTGATGCTATTTTTAGCGATTCGTTATACAGGGTGTCCCTAAAAGGTCTGTACAAAATCAAAAAAAGCACATAGACCTGAGGTCAAAATTAGATTTAAAGCAACTCACCTTGGT